CTATGAAAATTAGCAAAATTAACATGGAATCAGTTTTTTGGATATTCTAAGTTTAATGCCTTTTAGTTTAAATGTAGAAAGAAGCATATATAAAGAATAATATTGATACAATGGGTTACATGGGGTCACATATGGCCACATTTCCAAGGTTGGCTTTAAGGGCAGTCCCATGAGTAGGCATGAATAGCACCAAATAATTTGTTGTTCATTCGTTCAGTCGTTTCCAACTCTTCGTGACTTCATGGACCAGTCCACGCCAGAGCACCAGATAATAGTACGACGTATTTTGACATAAAGAATGCATGTTTAACTGCTATGATAGTTGTCATTCCTTTCCTTGTCTTACAAATGATGGTTTTTAAGATAAGTGCATCAGTGTCACAGAATACATAATACTATGGATTAATGCTCCCATGTAACCTATTTCTCATCATTCTATTTAAGGAAACTTTCTGTAACAAAGAAAAGATTCTTGGAGTAGGATTTGAAAATGTTTTATTTACTTGAAAAATGCATCCTGTTTTACAGCTACTGCTTTTAAGTGAAATCTGCTCATTTTAGAATATTGACCAATGCTGAAATTTCACAAAGCAGCTGATATATTCTAAGTCCTAGAACATCAGTATTGCAAGGAAAGTACTGTAAGTAGGTTCTTTCATTGGGGAAGAAATACTTCCCTTCCACGAATGTCTTCATATTGGACTATATCAGGAGTCAAGGCATTATCCTCATGACAATACAGATGATGGATTTTTTTAATTACTACGTCGATATTTCTTGTATGATTAGAAACATAAAGGATCTGCCTCATCAACAGAGATCATGTGGTTAAGACAGATATTCTCCATGGCTTGATTTGACTGTATGACTTTGGCTTTTCTTTAGGCTGCTGCATTGGCATTCTGCCATATGAATCACAAGCATGATTGTGTGAGTGCCTCCACTAACAGCTAAGATTACCTTTCTCTCCTATACTCAGAAAGGAATGGTATGTAGAGATATGCAATAACTAAGTGCTAAAAGCTGTTGCTATTGGTCTTATTAGTTAATGGCAAACCCATTATGCAATAAAGATAGCAGAAAACAGGTGGGAAATAACACTATCACTCTATCTTGCATTGGAAAATTCTCAGCAGCCACGTAGAAGCCTGAGGCTGAGCAACTGCATCTCCCTGGGTGTTGATTGACTACAAAGCCCATCAGTCTTACTGCTTAATGCCTTCTACTTAATGCCTTCTTTGCTTCGGTCTTCTCACAAAAAGGCCATCTTCAACCTCAGCAAGATGGAGTGGATGAGGGATTAGAGGACATCCAACCCCAAATTGGGAAACAAGTCGTCCAGGAATACCTGGCCGCTCTAAATGAGTTCAAGTCCCCAGGGCCAGATCAACTACACCCAAGAGTACTGAAGGAACTAGCGGAAGTCATTTCGGAACCATTGGCAATCATCTTTGAGAGTTCTTGGAGAACGGGAGAAGTTCCAGCAGATTGGAGGAGGGCCAATGTGGTCCCAATCTTCAGGAAGGGAAAAAAGGATGACCCAAACAACTACCGTCCGGTCAGCCTCACGTCGATACCAGGCAAGATTCTGGAAAAGATTGTTAAGGAAGTGGTCTGCAAACACTTAGAAACAAATGCGGTCACCGCTAATAGTCTACATGGATTTATCAAAAACCTCCTAACACTCATCAAACTACAAATGCTTTCATTGCTAATAGTCAACATGGATTTATCAAAAACAAGTCATGCCAGACTAATCTGATCTCTTTTTTCGATAGAGTTACAAGCTGGGTAGATGCAGGGAATGCCGTGGATGTAGCGTACCTGGATTTCAGTAAGGCCTTCGACAAGGTCCCCCATGACCTTCTGGCAAGGAAACTAGTCCAATGTGGGCTAGGCAAAACTACGGTGAGGTGGATCTGTAATTGGTTAAATGGACGACCCCAGAGGGTGCTCACCAATGCTTCCTCTTCATCCTGGAAAGAAGTGACAAGTGGAGTGCCGCAGGGTTCCGTCCTGGGCCCGGTCCTGTTCAACATCTTGATTAATGACTTAGATGAAGGGCTAGAAGGCAGGATCATCAAGTTTGCAGACGACACCAAATTGGGAGGGATAGCCAATACTCCAGAGGACAGGAGCAGGATTCAAAAGGATCTTGACAGATTAGAGAGATGGGCCAAAACTAACAAAATGAAGTTCAACAGTGACAAATGCAAGATACTCCACTTTGGCAGGAAAAACAAAATCCAAAGATACAAAATGGAGGATGCCTGGCTCAAAAGCAGTACGTGTGAAAAAGATCTTGGAGTTCTCGTGGACAACAAGTTAAACATGAGCCAACAATGTGATGTGGCAGCAAAAAAAAGCCAATGGGATTTTGGCCTGCATCAATAGGAGCATAGTGTCTAGATCTAGGGAAGTAATGCTACCCCTCTATTCTGCTTTGGTTAGACCACACCTGGAATATTGTGTCCAATTCTGGGCACCACAATTCAAGAAGGATGTTGACAAGCTGGAATGTGTCCAGAGGAGGGTGACTAAAATGATCAAGGGTCTGGAGAACAAGCCCTATGAGGAGCAGCTTAAGGGGCTGGGCATGTTTAGCCTGAAGAAGAGAAGGCTGAGAGGAGATATGATAGCCATGTATAAATATGTGAGAGGAAGCCACAGGGAGGAGGGAGCAAGCTTGTTTTCTGCTTCCTTGGAGACGAGGATGCGGAACAATGGCTTCAAACTACAAGAGAGGAGATTCCATCTGAACATGAGGAAGAACTTCCTGACTGTGAGAGCCGTTCAGCAGTGGAACTCTCTGCCCCGGAGTGTGGTGGAGGCTCCTTCTTTGGAAGCTTTTAAATAGAGGCTGGATGGCCATCTGTCAGGGGTGATCTGAATGCAATATTCCTGCTTCTTGGCAGGGGGTTGGACTGGATGGCCCATGAGGTCTCTTCCAACTCTTCGATTCTATGATTCTACTACCTTGTCTCATGCACTACCAAAATTGCTCCAGATCGCCGCACATCAAAATTGCTCCAGATCGCCGGACATGGGAGGAAGTGTCTGTTGGCTGATTCACCCCATTGAGGGCAATGCAACACGGGAAGCCTCCTGTGTTGCCGACAATTATTTCGGTTCTTCAACAACTAGAGTTGCCGCCAAAATTTGCCATGTGTGATGAGGTCATTAGTCAGACAATAGAAGACTGTCAAGACCAAGCTTATTCAGGCTTAAAGTCTGTGAGAGCAACAGACTTGTAACAGGTATCTATCATGACACTGAAACCTGCTTGAGACATCTTACAATCTCATCATACCTGACAAATTTCGGCAGCAACTCCACTTATGCCTCAGCTTTGCCATGGAGCCTGCTGGCTCCCACTACACGTGGGAGAAGTACTTCCAGAGTGGCTCCAGGGCAAAACTATGGTGGAACCAGAGTCACCACCGGAAAAAGCCACCAATGGCAACACGGGAGGCTTCCCATGTTGCATTGCCCTCAATGGGGCAAACTGGCCAGCAGATGCTTCCTCTCATGTGATGAGGGAGGGAGGAAGCTGGAACGGTGCAAGGCACGGGGTGATAGGTCCCCATGCCTCCTGGCTGGGCACCACCAGGATCTCCGCGATGTGTGAAAATCCTCGGTGATTCCAGTAGTGCGTGCAACAAGGCTGTAAATCACATACTCTTATATTAACAGACTGGAAGACCAAAAATTGGGATTTCATTGACATTTTTTCTGTGTCCATTAATTATCCCTTTGATAAGATCAGTGAAAGGTTTAAACTGTTCCTCATAACCTCACTTTTCTGCAATATTGCTGTTCCTATTTTTATTTTGTTTTGCTTCATTTTTAGGACAATTCCACAATTTAAACACACACAAAAAGACAAATATAAATATGAAATAAAAGCGGCAACAGCCTGTGTGAATATCATTGCAGAACTGGAAGCCATTGATTTTTATCCATTAATAGCTAGAATTGGGAATATCACAGTGGGAGTCAAATCAAGATAGCATTGTGTGTTAGGAGCAATGCTGGTTTGCCTAACTCATGCAATAAACTCCTTAATTAAGTAAACTTGTCCTCGGGCTTTTTTACAATTCTTATGTAAATACAATTAAATTTGATTATTTTAGCTTAATTATTAACTAATGACGTTGATACTTTTCTACTAATTTTCATATCACCAGCTAGGGTTCTTTGTGTTAGAAACTCAACTGATTACACATCCACTCAGGAGGATGTGCAATGTGTTAGCTTATTAAGCAACATGATGATTCAATGGTGTATGCATCTGTGTATATCCCGAAAACAAGGGCCATAACTTCTAGTTCATTTATGACCTTATCACACTGGGGGGAGGGGGGCAGTGATAAGGTCATACATGATTTAGTCTACGAATGATTTAGTGCCAGGTTCCCTGCGAACGTGCGTTGCACTACAGGCAAGAGACAGCTCCCTTCTGGGCACACTCCGCTCCCAAGACGGATGGCTCTCTGCACTGGGCAAAAGTGTGCTAGAACCAGCACAACAATGGAAGGCTCCCATGTTTGGAGGGAAGCGTCCACAGGTGCTTCCTCCCTGGTTGGAGGTGAAACCTCCTCCAGAAGTTGCACAATGTCTTGTGATGACAGGTGTGGGGCTCCATCCCCAAAGCAGAATGGAGGCATCTTAGGATGCTTGATTTTGTAAACATGACACGGTCCTGTAACTGTAGTGGCAAAATTGGTACTTCTGCATATCTAGAGTTCTATGATTTTCTGCTTCCTAAGAAACACTCTGGATTAGGGGCTTAATCATCAACTAGTTTCCCTCTCACAAGTCCAACTGCAAATATCAGTTTTCAAAATGAAACTTTTAAAAAAAATTGCATTATTTTGTGTTCACCTGCACATCAAAAGAGATTGCTCCAACTTGAAAACTGCCATATGACTTTTCGAATCAGCCCAGGTAAATAAACTGTTGGAAGTAGCAGTAGGGGAGTGGCTAGGTTTCTTGGGGTGGGTCCTGGAAAACATTTCATTTCTATATCTAGTAACACAGACCAGACAAGCTAACAAAGAGGCTGAAAAGCTACAAAGACTAGAAACATGAGCACTGTAGGGAAAGTAAGTAGATATTTTATTTTATTTTATTTTATTATTTTATTCACTCTACGTATGTGTGTGCATTGCATTTTGTCCAAGAGCAATGAATAATGCAAGGTTCATCAAAGACTTTCCAGGATGTCACTTCCTTTTTCATCAGTCATATCAAAATGTTGTATAACCTTCCTGCTGTGACAAATATGTCACAGTTGTTCCTACAACTTACAGAGCAGAGGGGGGCCTTAGGGTGCTCTCTATGAAACAGAAACATATGGCCAAAATGTCCAGGTATCCTAGGTGCCTGGCTAGATGGTTTGTTTGGGTTTTTTGTTTTTTTACTTCTTTGGCTTTCTTTTGGCATTAAAAGAAAGTGAAATTGTAATAAGCAGAAACCATTCTTCTGACACTGAATGAGTCAAGCTTTGTTTGAGAATGTTAAGAAATGAAGTGAAGGAGTCGTGATGTGGAGGAATGCACCGTACGTTATCAGACTGCAGGTGTACAGAAACAGCTTGCAAACGGGAGGCTTGCACAACAATTTTTTGTGTGGGCTGCAATTTTAAATGGGGACCAAATTATACTGGACTTATTTGCAGTTTAGGGTCTCTGATTTTTTCACCCAAATAATTTTATTAAAAGTTTACTAGGAGAGTAGGATGGAAAGGGAAGGAGGGGTTTCCAATTTTGAGGGAAACTGCTAAGATAATTAAATAACATTACAGTTCAAGGTTTGTGTAATAGTTGAAACCTGTGGCGCAGTGGGTTAAACCACTGAGCTGCTGAATTTGCTGATCGAAAGGTTGGCAGTTAAAATCCAGGGAGCTGGGTGAGCTCCCGCTGTTAGCCCCAGCTTTGCCAACCTAGAAGTTCTAAAACATGCAAAAGAACTTCAGTAGGTACTGCTTTGGTGGGAAGGTAACAGCACTACATGCAGTCATGCTGGCCACATGATCTTGGAGGTGTGTATGGACAATGCTGGCTCTTCGACTCAGAAATGGAGATGAGCACCATCACCCAGGATCAGACATGACTAGACTTAATATCAAGGGGAAACCTTTACTTTTTTACATGAAACAATACAAACTGACATGTTTTCTTCACAATACTAAGGAGTCCCTGTGCACTTGGTGGCATAACTCAGGATAGGACCTCAATGTATCTTAATCTAGCCTAAGAACAAGCACCATTCAGCATTTAAAGAGTTAGGCCGTAGTAGGACCATAATATACCTGTGCATGAGATGAGATTTAGGGTCACATGGGCAATCTTTATGGAATGTAGAACAGCAGTGGGATGAATGCAACCCTTCAAAACGTGTTTGAATGCAACTCCCATGGGCTTAGCCAGCCAGCACTGTCAATGGTAAGGAATGCTGGGAGGTGCAGCCAATACTTCTGGAAGGCTGAATTATTTCCACCTCTCATATACCAATATCCCTGCATATATTTTTATTTTTAACAGGTCATCAAATGCAAAGCAGCTGTAGTCTGGGAACCCAAGAAACCATTTAGCATTGTGGAAATTGAAGTGGCTCCGCCAAAAGCACATGAAGTCCGCATAAAGGTAACAGAAAGAAACCAACAACTGGGTTAGTGTTGATGAGCAGCATTCATTCACATTCACTCACATCAGGTTGGCTCTACCATTGGGTAGAGTAGAGCATCTGCTGAAAGAGGTAGAGATTAATGAACAGTTTTTCCCTGCCATTCCCTTTGCTCCTTGTAGTACAAATTCTTGCCTTCAGCTGTGTCTAAACATGTTTTTCTGCTGCCATTATTGAGGCAGCATGAAAGTGTAGCTAAATTACGAAATGCTCCCAATGCCAAACCATCCCTCAGAATCCAGTGATCATGATTCTTATTATCACACACTGTTGTAGCAACATATGCCACTTTAACAGCTAGGGCAACTTCTTACAAAGCTTTAGAGTTTGCGTAGTTCAGTTCTCTGGGTGAGCGTTCTAAGTGCTCCTCCCTAAACTGGAAATCCCAGGATCCTATAACAAGTTGCCATGGCAGTTAAAGTTTAATATAGTACAATAAAAAGTGCAATGTGATAAGGTATTTGTCAGAGTTGTTCAACATACGAGTAAAAGTTGTTGGTACAGCCTGCTAAGTACCAATCATTCTAGTTGGTGTCTAAATGTGAATTGTCTACTTTGATATATCTTTCTCTTTTCTCCCAGATCTTAGCTTCTGGAATCTGTCGCTCAGACGACCATGTATTGAGTGGTGCACTAACAGTGAACTTCCCAATTATTCTTGGTCATGAAGCAGTGGGTGTCGTGGAGAGTATTGGGGAAGGAGTTACTAGTGTGAAGCCAGGTATGGAAAAGCATACAGAGTGCAGCAAAAGAATATCAACCCAAAGCTATGATCAGTCATGACAAAACTAAATTACGGGCTCTTCCAAATGTGGTAAATGTGTGGGGAGATTGTAGTATATATATTTTTTCTGTACTTCCTAGGGTTTTTTTTTAACATGTCTAAATTTCACATCTGTTGTCCTGAACTATTAGCTGGCAATTCCCAGCCCCACCTGTAATGTATTGTTCCTAGCCTCAAGTGAGGTTTTTTTCCAATTCCAGGACACACTGGAATACTCCATCACTGAAGCAGCACTTTTGCATTAGCTCTCTGTTGTAGTTGTGTGCCTTCAAGTTGTCTCTGACCTTTGGCAACTCTAAGGCAAACCTATCATGGGATTTTCTTGTCAAGCTTTATACAGAGCCTTTGTCTTTTCTGAGGCTGAGAGGGTGTGTTTTGCCCAAGGTCACCAGTAACATTGGGCAAAACACCATGACTGAGCAAGGATTTGAACACTTGTCTCCATCAACCCACTCTCAAACCACTTTAACACTCTCCCATTAACTAACTCCCATTAGCACCCTATCACCTAACTTTTTTTAAAAAAAGCACAGAGAGAATTAAATTTTACCTTCAAACAATTTCAACATATCATATCCAATTCTTTTTTAAAAGCCTTTTGAAGAAACCCAGTACATATCCAATAAATCACTACAAAAATCCCCCAAAAGAATAGTGTGACTGGATGTAGAGTTGACTACAACTAGCAAACACAAGGATATAGTATAAAAATTCACGTTTCTTTCAACCATCGTAAAACAGTGAATCAATAGAGGGAAGTTAACTTAACCTGATTTTGCAATATAGTGGACTCTGTCTCTTGCAGCCAGTTTTCTATAAATGTTAGACTTTGGGACTTCATTAAGTGATACAGCTACGTTTTTGTAATAGTCAGCAGCTTAATGTTTTACTTAATGTTAGAGAGAACATGTTACTTAAATGTTTGGCCTTTAAAGAAATTAAAAGACGGGGTTATCATCAGCATTACATCCAATATGGCGATCAGGTCAGGATGATTTGTATGAAGGGAACTAATTCATAATTAAGAATTGGAGAACTTGTAAAGCTGGAAACGGTGAAGAAAAAGGGAACCCAAATCATCAAGGGGAAGGAGCAATTCCACTATGAGGAAAAGACATTGCCCAATTCCCTGCTAGACCCTTTTCCTGGGAACCCATTCCAAACATGTCAATACCCTTTGCCACCCATTGTTTAACCAGTTAAGACCAATTGACTTATTTCAGTCAATGCCAGCAGCAGATGGCACATCTCAACCAGCAAGCTTGCAGATCCTAGACAGGCCTGGCCTAAGTCAAGCAGTGCTGGGAACAGCAACAGGTTTTGTTTTTGTTTTGTTTTTTTGTATTGAACTGCCATCAAACACCTAAAAATATTTATGTACATTTTCTCTGCAACATGTCAGTTTTGAGAGTGCAGACTGCTGGTGTCACCTTTGGCCAAAGTGAATAAAGCTTCTGTTCCTTTGTCTTCAACCTGTCCATGGCACATTTGATCTTTGGAGCTAGTCATGCCAGGCTCTGACTCTATGGTTCTTGCCATAGCTGAAATCACATAACATACTTATAATGAGGTGTTCCTTTTTATGTTATAATATATAACATAATTACATATGCATGTGCAAAAACCATGGCCACCAACTTAGATGGCTTCAAAAGAAGTGTATTAACAGCCATTTAGGCTACCAGTAGCTAATACATTCTATATCAGAGGCACTTGCCCATCAAATACCCAGAGAAATGTGCCGTTTCACTAATGTATGTTTCATTGACCACCTTGGTATTAGAAATGTGAGTCAGATGAGTATTTGGTTTGTTATAGCACCATCATTTTTATATTCTTTTGCCATTTCTTCACAATGCAGTCAGTTTCATTCAGACTTTGTGTGTGTGTGTCAGGAGTGACTTGAGAAACTGCAAGTCACTTCTGCTGTGAGAGAATTGGCCATCTGAAAGGACATTGCCTAGGGGACGCCCAGATATTTTACCATCCTGTAGGAGGCTTCTCTCATGTCTCCAAATGGGAAGGTGGAGCTGACAGATGGGAGCTCACCCCGCTCCCCGGATTCAAACCATCAACCTTTTGGACAGCAGTTCAGCCAGCACAAGGGTTTAACCCATTGCACCACCGGGGGCTCCTTCCATTCAGGCAAACTCCATCACAATATATAGTAATTTAGTCAGTTTGTTAATCTCATGCCTATGCCTATTGACATGCTTTAATCTATCTAGCAACTTCAAGTAGGCTCACCATATATTTTTTATAATTCACAGGAGACAAAGTTATTCCACTTTTTCTACCACAGTGTGGAAAATGCAGTTTTTGCATAAACCCCAAAGGCAACTTGTGCGAAAAGAGCGAGTAAGTTCATGTTGTTATTCATAGCAGTATACTCTAGCAGGGCCTTTTTAGTGTCTGGTCCTAGATTCTGAAGCTTTTCTTATAGGGAGGCAAGGCTGGATGCTGCACTGAAGTTCTATGTGCAGCAAATGAAGGCCTTTTTACTCTGGAAAGTTTTTGGGAATTGATTGTTTTATAGGGAAAAAAACAGTTTATAAAGTGTGCTATGCTTTTCTTTTAAATTAATGTTTAAATGTCAAATTTATATATTATTTATTATTATTTTAAACATATTTTTTGCATATTTTAGCTTCATGTATTGTTTTACTAGTACAGTAGAGTCTCACTTATCCAACATAAATGAGCTAGCAGAACATTGGATAAGCAAAAATGTTGGATAATAAGGCGAGATTAAGGAAAAGCCTATTAAACATCAAATTACATGACAATTTTAAAAATTAAACACCAAAATATCATGTTTTACAATAAATTGAAAGAAAAAGCAGTTCAATACACGATAATGTTATGTAGTAATTACTGTATTTACAAATTTAGCTCCAAAACATTGCAATGTATTGAAACAGCTGTGGATCCGGGCGGGAGGCAGACTGCGTTGGATAATACAGAATGTTGGCTGAGCGAAGGTTGGATAAGCGAGACTCTACTGTAATTCTTTTTCTTTTGTAAACTGCCTTGAATTCTAACTTGGGGAAATGTAAGATATAAATAAAGGAATATAACAGAACAGATTAGAATAATTATGTTATCTATTTTGTCTTTAGTGAAACCCACACCTCTATGATTTCTCTTTTCCCATATTTTAAAGCTTTGGAATACCTACTGGATTGATGTATGATGGCACTAGCCGATTCACTTACAAAGGACAACCAATCTACAAGTTTGTTAGCACTGGCACCTTCACCGAATACACTGTGGTGCATGAGGATGCGGTGGCCAAAATTGATGCTGCAGCCCCTCCTGAGAAAGTGTGTCTGATTGGCTGTGGATTTTCGACTGGTTATGGTGCTGCCATTAATTCTGCCAAGGTAAGGATTACCGCATAGCTGGTTGACTTGCTGTGTGATAAATTTGTGGCATGTCCACATTTTGTATTTATGACTCACAATAGCTGTGTATACCTGAGGATAACTCAACCTTAGTCAAGGGCAGGTATGAGGACAAAATTAGAGATTTTGATGTGACTCGTGGATAAGTCAGGAGTGGTTCCTCAGAGAGGGGAAAAGACCAACGTGTTAACAAAGCTACGTCACTGACACAATATGCAACCACTCATGAATGGCAAAAACAGAGCATCATGCAAGATATCCCATTGTAAAACACGCTGCTGGTTCCATTTTCCCAGGCCCTTCCACACATCTTACCTGTCCAAATGTATCTCCCTCTACGTCCCACCTCGCAGTATAAGATCATCCGGGGAGGTCCTGCTCTTGGTCCTGCCAGCCTTGCAAGTGTGCTTGGTGGGACGAGGGACAGGGCCTTCTCAGCAGTGGCCCCACACATGTGGAACTCGCTCCCCAGCGAGATCAGGTCGGCATCTTCCCTCCTTTCTTTCAGAAAGAAGGTTAAATCGTGGTTCTGGGACCAGGCCTTTGGACAGCAAGCATGATAGCACTTTGGGTGTCGAATTGGACTGGAATTGGCTATATTGATTGATGACAATATTTTTAATGTGTTTTTATCTTAATGTTCTATTTACTGTTTTAAACGGTTGTTATATGTGTTTATATTTGTATTATCTTGTGGCATCAATTTGTTACCGGTGTAAGCTGCCCTGAGTCCCCCCCCCCCCCTCGGGGGTTGAGAAGGGTGGGTTAAAAATGTGGGAAATCAATCAATCAATCAGTAAATGAAATCCCACATTATCTGCTTTAAAGCAGATATTGTGGATTATCTGCCTTGATATTCTGGTTTATATGACTGTGTGGAAGGGCCCCCATTTGTCCCAATAGTGTCCCCAAGTCCCCATTGCCCTTTTGACAACATTAATAATATGCATTCAGTTTTCAATGTTGTAACTTCTCAGCTGATTGCAAGTGATACTGTGCAGAAATTTTTCAAACAAAAATAAATAGAGTTAAGAGGCATATCAGGAATTTCATGCCATGTTTATTTGTGTGTTTGTTAAGAAGTTGAACTGTATGCTTACTCTCAGTCTCAGGATGATTATTTTTATTTTGATATAGGTTGAGCCTGGGTCTACCTGTGCTGTTTTTGGACTGGGAGGAGTTGGCCTTTCAACAGTGATGGGTTGTAAGGCAGCTGGAGCCTCACGAATTATTGGGGTTGACATCAACAAGGATAAATTCCCTAAAGCTAAAGAGCTAGGAGCCACTGAATGTGTCAACCCTCTGGATTTCAAGAAGCCTATCAATGGAGTACTGTTTGACATGACAGACGGAAAAGGAGTTGACTATTCGTTTGAAGTTATTGGACGTACCGATACCATGGTGCGTACACAATATCGAAGTGCAGAACTGAAATTGAGAGCAAACATCTGCATTCTCTTTCTTCCTGTTCTCTCCCTATCCCCAGTGTTCTACTCCAATAACTTTATTCCTTCACCCTCCTTGTCACTATTTTGAGAGGAACTCAATAGAAATACTTGAGAATAGTATGGGATGGTTGTGGGGGTTGGGGAATGTTCATGCATTTGAGGGCCTTCAATGTGAAGGCCCTCAAATGCATGAACATTCTTCAACCAGCACAACCATCCCATACAAATATTGGGCAAACATTGCATGGATTTTTAATATGGCATTCAGGAGTCAAAAATTTAGATCCTGTGGCTACATTGTTTGGGACCTCATCCCACAAGGGCAGGAAAGCCAGGGGAACAAATTCTTATTGTTCCTATTCACTTTGAAGATGGAGTCCCATGGATCTCATGAAATGACACAGGACTGCGCCCAGTGGTGATCCATTTTATGTATGCAAAGGGGAGGGTTGTGAAGTCAGGAAAGAATCAACCACACAGCTCTCCCTGCACATAGAAATGGGTAAAACTGTTGTACTTTATGAAAGGTGAAACTGTTGGATTTTAAAGTGGGATGGGAGGCCACTGACCCTACAAAGGATATGATTCCCCACACTCCCCTCCCCACTTCCCTCTCCCATTATGGGATGAGGTCCCCGGTCTTTGCTAGAACACATCCCTTCAATCAATCGTTTAATGACTCAACACATAGGTAAATCCCATCAATTCAGTGGGTCTACTCTGGTTGGCACTATAGGTTTTAAGCCTTTTCCTCTATGGATCTTCTTAGGTAAAGGTTTCCCCCTGACATGAAGTGGTGCTCATCTCCATTTCTAAGCCAAAGAGCCAACATTGTCCATAGACACCTCCAAGGTCAAGTGGCCAACATGACTGCATGGAGTGCCATTACCTTCCTGCTGGAGCAGTACCTACTGATCTACTCACATTTGCATGTTTTCGAACTGCTAGGTTGGAAGAAGCTGGAGCTGACAGTGGAAGCTCACACCGCTCCCCAGATTTGAACCTGCAACCTTTTGGTCAGCAAGCTCAGCAGCTCAGCACTTTAACCCACTGCGCCACTGGGGGCTCCTTAAAATTCTTAAAGATGATCTTAAAGATCTTCTTAAAGTTGTTTATAATACAATCCAAGTCATTATTATTATAGGCTTATCTGGGTGACTTTTTGGATACTAATACAATTTTTTCATATTATAAAACCATGATAGAGGATGTCATGGCTGGCATAGCAGATATTTTTCATGCCTTGATCTGAATATATGACTTTGGATCTGCTTTTAGATGGCCGCCATGAATTCCTGCAACATAAACTATGGAACAAGCGTGATTGTGGGCGTGCCTCCTTCAGCATCTGAGATTACCTTTTCCCCTGGACTTATCTTCTCTGGCCGTAACTGGAAAGGATCTCTATTTGGAGGTAAGGTTTAAATTCCAACCCCGATCCCTCTTCTGTTAGAAAAGAAGCATTACAATATGTAACACCGAAGACATGGCAAAAATGGGTGGGGAATAGCACATCACTTTAAGAAAATTCCCCAACACGTGTCAAAACCCCTTGAACATTTTTGGACTGTAAAAGCTATTAGCCTGATTGGACAATATAATACTGTTAAGGCTATTCAAAATCTATGAGATTGAAAGACCTTTAGTATACATGGCACTTGCCAGATCTTGACCTCTCACTCTTTTATTTGCAGGCTGGAAAAGCAAAGATTCCGTTCCGAGGCTGGTTTCAGATTTCATGCAGAAAAAGTTTGCTCTGGATCCACTCATTACTCACACCATGCCCTTTGATAAAATCAATGAAGGGTTTGAACTGCTCCGGTCAGGGAAAAGGTAAAACCTTCATCTCTTTTAATAGCTGCCCTTTGCTCAAATAAGAGTGAACACGTGTCGCCCAAAAGAACTGGCATGTCTTTCCCTACAGCTGCAATACTCATTTTGCAGCCAAAAGCATGGGCCAGTCATTAATCCACTGTATTTTCTTCAACATGGGAGAAGGGAAACACATTGAAAGCTTGCACTTTCTATGTAAATAGAGCAACAATGGGTGAGGTAGATCTAAGTTGTTCTTCGCTCCCATCTTGAAGAAAATAGGGGGGTGGGAGTAATGCCTGAATGGAATTGAAGAGACTGTATCTTCAGTTCTAAGATGCGCTTTCCCCCTATATAAATATCTCTAAAAATGGGGTAGGTTGTAGAATTGCAGGTATAGAATTTTTGTTGGTGGTGGTACTGAAATTAGGGCACATCTTACAATCGATAGCATAATTGAAGAAATATGGTCTTCCATGGATGAACAAATGAAAGAGGGAATTGCTAAAGCTGCATAGAAATGGTATGTACTGTTGAGGAAACCATTAGTTTCAGACATTCTACAGCAGTGGTTCTCAACCTGGGGTCCCAGATGTTTTTGGCCTTCAACTCCCAAAAATCCTAACAGCTGGTATACTGGCTGAGATTTCTGGGAGTTGTAGGCCAAAAACATCTGGGGACCCCAGGTTGAGAACCACTGTTCTACAGGAAGTGGGGCCCCTGGTGATGTAGCGGATTAAAACACTGAGCTGTTGAACTTGCTGACCAAAAGGTTGCCAGTTTGAATTCAGGGAGCGGAGTGAGCTTCTGCTGTTAGCCCCAGCTTCTGCCAACCCAGCAGTTCGAAAACATGCAAATGTGAGTAGATCAATAGGTACCGCTCCGGCGGGAAGGTAATGGCGCTCCATGTAATCATGCTGGCCACATGATCTTGGAGATGTCTACGGACAACGCCAGCTCTTCAGCTTAGAAATGTAGATGAGCACCACCCCCAGAGTCCGACATGACTAGACTTCATGTCAGGAGAAACTTTTACTACTGGAAGTATGGTCTATCAAGCATGGGCAAACTTGGGCCCTCCAGTTGTTTTGGACTTTAACTCCAAGAAATCCCAGCCGGCTTACCGACTGTGAGGAATTGTGGGAGTTGAAGTCCACATACCTGGAGGGCCCAGGCTCCCATGCTTTGTCTAGATCCATCTTATTTAAACCTGATGTTTAGAACAGAGTTCATTATTATGTTTTCTGATGTTTCAGCATTCGCAGCGTTCTGGTGTTTTAAAGATGCCAGTGATGAAGCAAGTATATGGCAATGGCATTTGCAGACTAAATTCCTCCAGATCAAAAGACTACACACTTGGTAATGGGACACCTGTGGAAAGGATTGATTCCTGCTCTGTTGCCAGTAGTAATTACTTTTTATTAACTTGAAGATGCCACATACCACTGATCTCAATGAGAGGCCTATTTCTCAGTGGATAGTCATTGCATTCACTGTTGACCAGTATCTTGAAATCATATGTTTTTTCATTGCTATTAAAAATGATTTTACAAAATTATTTACAAATACTTTTAGAAAACTCATTGTTTTTAAAAATTTGTAATTTTGGAATATAGCTTTGTATATTTAGCAAGAGATGCCAACAGGATTGAGAATGAATGTTTTTTTCTCAAAGACAGCAGCAAATCAAGGGTTTTGATCAAGGGCAAAAATATTCCGGGACTTCAGAAAAGGTCCACATACAGACCTGTTGTTCCTGGGATTTCTGCCTTCATCGTCCACGCTTGCTGCTTCGTTGCGGAATTTAGAGGCTTCCAAGCTGGCAACCGTGGGATTTCCACTGGAAATTTCAGCATTTTTTTAAACTTACAATGCAAAGATGCAAAGATGCGAATCACTGTTTAAGTTCATCTGTGCAGACAGGATTTGTTCCTGGGTTATACATGTCTGCTCTTGATGGGTCTTATTGTGAAAAGATGTACAACACCTGTGTCACCTTCTTTTTAGGAATTGACTAATCAGGAACAAACATCTAAAAACTGGGAACAAGCCTAGATTTTAAAAATCCCGTGATTTCCAAGTGCAGCGACATACAGACATTCAAAAATGCAGATTTTCAGCTCAGAACTGGGATAGTCCTGCACCTGGAAATCTCTCATTTTTTGCCATTTGTAGCAATTGCTTCCGCATTTACAGGGAATGGCATCTAGCCACCATCTTGTTTGTTGTGGAAGCTCCCGGGATAAAAGGCACTGTTTAGAGGGGCCACTAGTAGCTAATTATGTTGTTTCCCTCTCCTAATGTAAATGGAGTTGAATTTAATTTTTTATTTGATCACCCTAATGCATTGACACTTTCTTTTGGTAGGGTTGCTGTCTCTGTGTTAGAAACCCTACCTACCATGACACTATCTCAGTTGATCGCCTATCAGTACATGAGTGTAGCCAATATGTGTAGCCAAGGTGAAAGACACTACAAATAGCAGGAGAAATAGAACTGGTCAGCACAATGACAAGAAATGTTCATGAACAGTCTTGGAGTCCTTTCACACTATACAGTTTTTGCAATTTGATTCCACAACAGGAAGGCCCTTTCCAAGGAAGTCTGAGAGTAGTCTGTTACTATGACTTAACTGGTTAGTGGAAACAGAATGAAATACTAGGAAAGTGAGTTAGCTGCAAGAAAAAAATTGTGACTGCACATTTCGCCTTGTAATTTAGCTTCTGAAAAGGAAAATTGTAGAAATGAACTATCTTAAAGAAAGTCATGAAGATTTTGCAAAGAAACCTATTACTATAAGACTGAAATTAAAATTGGATTTACACCTCATTGTGCTTATATTTTCATTTTATTTCTAAGGTGTCCCACTCTTATAAATGTTGCAGAATCAAAGCTATAAAACTACATAAGAACAAGCAATCGTTAGTGAGACTGCTATCTCTAATAAAGTAGGGCAGTGTTTCTCAGCCTTCCTAATGCAGTGACCTCTTAATACAGTTCCTCATGTTGTGGTGACCCCCAACCATACAATTATTTTCATTGCTACTTCATAACTATTTTGCTACTGTTATGAATTGTAATGTAAATATCTGATATGCAGGGTGTATTTTAATTCACTGGACCAAATTTGGAACAAATACCCGATACACCCAAGTTTGAATATTGGTGGGGTTGGGGAGATTGATTTTGTCATTTGGGAGTTGTAGCTGCTGGGATTTATAGTTCACCTACAATCAATGAGCATTCTGAACTCCACCGATGAGGAAATTGAACCAAACTTGGCACACAGAACTCACCTGACCAACTGAAAATCCTGAAAGGGTCTGGTGGACATTGACCTTGAGTTTTGGAGTTGTTGTTCACCTACATCCAGAGAACACTGTGGACTCAAACAATGATGGATCTGGACCAAACTTGGCACGAACACTCAATATGCCTAAATGTGAACAGTGATGGAGTTTGGAGAAACTTCACCATTTGGGAGTTGTAGTTACTGGGATTTATACTTCACCTACAATCAAAGAGCATTCTGAACCCCATCAAATGATAGAATTGAGTCAAACTTCCCACACAGAACCCCCATGATCTACAGAAATATTGTGTTTTCTGATAGTCTTTGGCAACCTCTCTGACACCCCCCTCATTACCCACTCCCCACGGATCCCAACCCCCAAGTTGACAAAGTAGGGGAAGAACCTGAGTCCGGCAACTCATTTCTCTGGAGGTATGGTCTCCAACATAAGTCTTATTTATTAGCTGGATGTGGACTTTCCCATGGTTCAAAGGGAGGGAGGGTGAGATAAGAGGAGTTATTGGTGAACTTTTAAAGTGTGTATATGGGGTAACAAATAGAAACATTTGTTGTCATTGAATAGCAATTCGTGTTTGTATTCTTTTATTACACTTTTGTATGGATGATGTTTCAATATTGACACAATACAGAAATAATACAAACATTAGTCATATGCAGTAATTACTTCAACAATCTATTATAGAAACATCTCAGAGCAAAAAACACACCCAAACAAATTTTGAAAATGAGTAACAAAATCAAAGACAAAAGAATACAAAAGTAGGAAACGTGTAGTCTAAACATATGTTTCTTTTGTACTGATAGCAGATTTCCAACTACCCAAATTACTCTACAAAAATTTCAGATTTCTTTTTATAATTATGTGTTCTGAAGATATGCATTTGTGCCTCTTACGTATTCATGGGCCCTACATAGTCTCTGTCATCAATTGGACTGTGTTCCTCTGTTGCTTAGGAAGCAACTGGCTGCTGTTTCCACGCCTCTCACAGGAAGTATATCCAGTCCACTACAAAGGGAATTTCAACTCCCTTCATCCCTGGCCAACGCAGGCCCCTTTTATACTGCCATATACAATTGAGATTATCCATTTTAAAACTGATTATGTGGCAGCGTAAACACATATAATCCAGTTCAAAGCAGATAATGTGGGTTATCTGATTGGATAATCTGGATTATATGTCAATGTAGAAGGGGGCACGGCCAATAGTGAAGAAGTCTTCCAGCTGTGCTCCAATAACATTTAGAGAGCCACATGTTTCCAATTATTTCTGTGGTTGCATAACTGAATTTTAGAACACAAGATTCTAATGAGTATCAACAACTTGGCTTTTGTGTAAAAGAAAAAAATGAAGAAATGGAAATAAACAAAGAAAAAACAGAGCTACAGGTTTTTTTCTGTAACTATTCAGGCATTACGTTGTTACTGCTGTAAAATGCAAAATCTTTTATCTTAGGCATCCTTTCAAATCCTTCCTATTGCTTTTACTGGCCAAAGGTGCCCTAAAATTGCACTACTATCAAGAAAAAAAACTGTGTATTGCCAAATCTTAACAGGTTGTGCAAATGAATTAATCTATGTTCTCCAGTGAACACTCCCACTTAACTGAATTCTAATCCTAGCATGTAATGGAACCAGAGAAAATAAAGTGGCAGGAGAGAAGTGGCCAAGTTCTTGCGAAACTAAGTAAATACTGGACAGTTGTGAAACAAATCAAAAATTTGCTATCACTTCAAAAGGGAAATTTGATCCATCTAGAAGTCAGACAAGAAGCACTGAAACCTCACAGAAAGACTGGTAATTTGCAAAGTCTAGAACCATGAGCACTGCAGGGAAAGTAAGTAGATATTTCTTTTAAAATTTATTTTTCAACCCAGACATGTGTGTGTGTATAAGAGAGAGAGTATGTGTGAAAACTGGCACTTAAACATCCAAATACAAATACAGTAGAATCTCACTTATCCAGCCTTCGCTCATCCAACGTTCTGTATTACCCAATGCAGTTTGTCTCCTGCCTGGATCCACAGCTGTTTCAATGCCTTGCAATGTTTTGGTGCTAATTTTGTAAATACAGCATTAATCCAGAGCAGAGTTTCTCAAACTATACTCCTCCAGATGTTTTGGACTTCACCTCCCATATTTCCTAACTACTGGTAAACTGGCTGGGATTTCTGGGAGCGCAGCTCGAGAAACAATGATCTAGAGTGTCCCACCAAATCAAGTCAGTTGGAGGGTATGTTGTGGCTACCTGTGGAGGAAAATGAAGAAATCCTGAGTTTAACCTGATCAGATTGCAGTTATGAGGAGTACTTTTTCAAGTAGTAAACTGTAAGCAGTTTCTTTGAGTCCCTACAACTAAACCCTGCTGAACTTTAGGAGAGTAAGTCCACAGCAAACTACCATGAAGATCCTGAAAGGAAGGAAGGAAGTCTATTTCAAATTATAAATATAAACATGGTCTCATCTCCTATTATTCTTACAGGTCATCAAATGTAAAGCCGCCATAGTCTTTGAAGCTAAGGGACCTTTTAAGATTGTGGAAATAGAAGTGGCCCCTCCAAAGGCACATGAAGTTCGCATTGAGGTAAAGGAGGCAAACCTAAAGCTGGATTAGTTGAGATTATCACACATTCATGCAAATCACAGTAGCACTATCATTAAGTGAAGTGAAGTAGCTGCCTTTGTAGGAAAAGGAATGAGAGAGAAAACCTTTCCCAGTCCCCAGTCAGATGAAGTTAGGGTGTCTAATAAGTGGGAAAACTTTTATCTCTCATCCTTTTCAAACATCCGACACTAAACTATTGCAAGGTGCTAGTCTATTCTGAATGTTAAAGGAAGGTTCAATGGTCAATCCAAGAGGAGAGGATATATGCAGAAATGTGGAGAAGGCATCACATTCTTCAGGCAGCTTCATATCTTGAGGTGCTCCTGATTCTCCTGAGGCTTGCAGTCTGCTGCTGAACCAGAGCTCTGATGCACAGGTGTGCCTCCACCACTTTGTTATCCATTTTATAGCTGAAGTGGGCTGGCATTTTGATCATGACATAAACCTGCATAATGTTGAGTGGGGGGGGGGGGGGTCCATTTTCATAGTTGTTGTAGAGGGAGAAATTTATTAACTCCCTTTCAGAAACAATCCTCACTTCTGTTCTCCCCAAATACCTCTATATCAATGGTTCTCAACCTGGGGTCCCCAGATGTTTTTGGCCTACAACTCCCAGAAATCTCAGCCAGTTTATCAGCTGTTAGGATTTCTGGGAGTTGTAGGCCAAAAACATCTGGGGACCCCAGGTTGAAAACCATTGCTCTATATCCTTCTAGCCACATACACAAGCACAAAAGAATCCTCCAGTCTCTGCCTGAGACTGATCTTTGGGAGAAAAGTATTCTGTTATGGATGCCAGTACAGAGGCAGAGATGAACCAAACAAATTCCCAGTTTGTGCTAAATAATTTAATTAAAACATCACTTACTGTCTGGCTGTTTTAATAGTCTAAAATATAAAACATAAAGATAGCACTCAACCACAGAATATAAAACAAAAACTGACAGCAAACACTGTTGCAGGTTCAAGATAACACCGTAGTCAAAGAGTCCAGTCCAGTGGTCAAACGTCAAGAGTTCAATTAGCAAAATCCAGGGATCAAGAGTCTATTCCAGGGGTCCTCAAACTAAGGCCTAGTGGCCAGATACAGCCCTCCAAGGTTATTTACCCGGCCCTCACTCAAGGTCAACTTAAGTTTGAAATAACTTGAAAGCACACAACAACAACAAAAACAACAACAATCATATCCCTTCAGCCAAAAGCAGGACCACGTTTCCCATTGAAATACTAAGTTTATATTTTTAAAATTATTCTTCATTTTAATTATTGTATTGTTTTTAAGTGTTTTTTGCACTACAAATAGGATATGGTTTTTTTTTTCAAATTATAATCCAGCCCTCCAACAGTTTGTGGAACTGTGACCTGGCCCTCTGTTTTAAAAGTTTGATGACCCCTGGTCTATCCCATAGTCGAAAGCTAGTCCAGAGATTCAAGGTTCCAGGGTTCCAAGAGTATAGGAGACAGGTCAGGATACCGAAAATCCACAAACCTGGGGGAAAACCATTAGCATCTACCACCAAAATAAGACAAATACTTTTCTCCCAAAGATCAGTCCCAAGATTAACTCCTTATATCCAGGAACACCCAACTGCAATGTAACTCTTGCATGCCTCCACCCTTAATTGCTTTCACCCATAAATTCTTACTTAGAGATTACTCAACCCTATAGAACTAAGACTTACATTAATCCTTCCATCACCAACTTCTAGGTCTGTCACCACCAACCTGCATCAACTGTGGAACATGATACATGATAGAAGATCCCTGTTTTATAGTGTTAGTATATGATTATATCTAATCCTTCTATTTTTAAATCAAAATCAAAATTGATATTTCAATGTAATACAAGGAAAATCCTTAGATGATAACTGCAAGAGATATTTAAATGGGAAGCAATTGCCTGTACCAATCTTTCATCTTTATTATAGATCTTGGCTTCTGGAATCTGCCGCACAGATGACCACGCACAGGGTGGTGAAATAGAAGTGAGCTACCCAGTTATTGCTGGTCATGAAGCAATTGGTATTGTGGAGAGCATTGGGGAAGGAGTTACCTGTGTGAAGCCAGGTATGGTTAAGCACCCAGGGTGCAAGGAGAGGACATCCACACATAAACATAATAACAAAGACTACTATAGCCAACTAAACCAGAATGATTATGGTTAAATAATATCATTTATTGTTCAAATGTGTTTGAGATGTTTTTGGTGAATAATGCTGAAAAGGAAATACATGCAAACTAGATAACTTCCTTTGATGAATGGTAGTAACTCTTGTTGCAACTCCTAAGATTCCAATCTCAATAGATGTAGTCTTCTCTGTGTCTTCTCCCTGTTTGTCTACACTGCCAAAACTGTGTCCCACAAAGTCCATCATATGATTCAAGGCAACTTGGAAAGAACACATCCCCAGCCAGGTCTCCAGAGGCAAGAGCAAGCAAAGGCAAAGAGAGTGGTTAATTGTCCCATTTATGAAATCCACATGTTTATTGGTCAAACTATCTATCCAGCTTCCTATATCTTCCCTCCCCTTTCTGTTGGCAGGAGCATTCTTTGTAGCAGCAGTCTTGCAAAATACTTTTCTAGACAGTCCTAACTAATAAAGTTAGGTTATGAGCAATCTTGGTTTTTGCAGTAATTTGGACATTTCAGTAGCTGTGGACCAGCTATGCTATTACATCGACTAAAACCTTCAGCCTCACAATTTTTTATATAATTTCTAGGAGACAAAGTCATCCCACTCTGCCTCCCACAATGTGGGAGATGTCCGCCTTGCAAGAATCCAGAGGGCAATATGTGTGAAAAGTCTGAGTGAGTTTTTGTTACTACTATCAGCAGTATTAGAAAGTGCTTCACAAATATTGCAACCTTTCTTATTTTTGTTGAAAATCACACACACAACTTTCCTTTTTCATGTTTTAAAGCTTTCTTCCAGCTAAGGGGCTAATGTATGATGGCACCAGCAGATTCTCTTACAAAGGGAAGACAATTCATAATTTTGTTAATACCAGCACCTTTACTGAATACACCGTAGTGCATGAGGATGCGGTGGTCAAAGTTGATCCTGCAGCTCCCATTGAGAAAGCTGTTCTGATAGGCTGCGGATTTTCCACTGGCTATGGCGCTGCCACCAAAACTGCAAAGGTAGGCATCATAGGTGGCTGACCTGCAGCACGAGGAATTTGTCTAGAATCTGAATTTTGTGACTGAGGTGTATCTGTTGTGAAATGGTAATGCCAAATATTTCTCCTTTTGTTGTATTTCATGTAAGCTCAACAATGAAGAATTTGACCTAAATATGATTGATCACCCTCAAGTAGAGTAGGCCTCTTGAGTGAATTATTGTATGGCGTATCACTGTACAAGTAAAGCTCATTGATTCAGTGACTCTACTATAGTTAGGTGCTACAAGATCATTTTGCATACTGATATTCCAAACTAACACTGTTGCCTAAAAATGGAATGCTTTGAACTGGCTGAAAGTTGGCTAGTATAGTGGGATACAAAGAGAAGGGTTTGCAGCAATATACCATATATATTCGAAGATAAGCCAATCTGGCCTATAATAGGGTCAAGGTCAAGCTGGGCAGCAGAGCTTGGAGGCCATTGCTTGCAATATATTATATATTTCTTTCTCCTCTCTCATCCTCCCTTATCAATATGTTTTCTTTTCCAAAGCCTCCCTCATTCTTAACTAAGGGAATGTTTTGAAAAGGGAAATAAGTCCTTGCAAGTCAGGAAGAAAAAAAAATATGTCCATTAATATTACAAAAGCATTTTCCCCTGAAATATTTGTTAATCTCTCCTACAGATAAATAAACATTTCTCCCTTGAAGCTTTTGCAATCCTTACGTTCCTAGATATCTCTATCTATCTATCTATCTATCTATCTATCTATCTATCTATCTATCATCTATCTATCTACATTAATTTTATATATGAATTTTCCCCTCATATGCTTGCAGGTCTTTGCAAATCCTATATACATATTGATATCTAGAGATTTCCATGTACCTGTATATACATGTATATACATATACATCTTTATACATTATTTCTATATATGAATTTCCCTTCACATGTTTGCAAGTTTCTGCAAATCCTATATCGATATAATTATCTATAGATTCAGAGAGATATCTAGATAGATAGATATATGAATACAGATATATAGGGCTTATAAATGTTACAGGGGAAATACAAATACACATACACATATACATACATATGTCTTGATAGATATGAATATAGATATATAGGGCTTGCAAATATTGCAAGGGAAATGCATACACACATATATACTGAGAGATTTCTAGATAGATATAAACATAGATATATAGGGCTTGCAAATACTGCAGGAGGGAAATGCACATATATAGAAAGAGGATTTGCAAACGTTTCAGGGGGAAATACATATGTGAAATTAGTATATATAATTATAGATCTATATCTAGCTCTGCATTGTTTATATAGCCATTAATTGTTTGACTGTTACTATGTTGGAAGCCAGCCTGAGTCTCCATGGGGAGAGAGGGCGGGATACAAATGAAGTTTTATTATTATTGTAAAGTTATTGTTGATACCATATTGTTTTTGTTGACCCTACTTTTCTACTTACAGAACTAGTTTACTGTTTTCTTTGACATATGGTAAATATTCAAAAACATTTAACTTACCGATGCCTCAATTAATGTATTTTTATTGGTATCTATTTTTATTTTGAAATTTATCAATAGTTGATGCATTTCCCACTCTTGGCTCATACTCAAGTCAATCAGTTTTCCCAGGGGTTTTTTTGTTTGTTAAAATTAGGTGCCTCGGCATATATTTGGGTCGGCTTGTACTCAAGTATATACTGTACTTACAATTGGCTACTTCAACATACTACAGTTCTATCTTATTTCTCTACCCACTTTCTCTGTACCCACATTTCCTGTCCCACTCTGGCTTTTTTGATAACACCGAAAGTATTTAACACATACACAGTAGATCTCACGTCTCTTGGAACCAAGTCCACATCACAAAGCTGGGCAAATCCAAAGTGACAAAATATTAGTCACATTTTATTCAATTCTTTAGATGGCAATGCCACAAAATACCTATTTTTAAGCCTAGGTTTGTGTTGAAGCTGCTTCAATGAGCCATACATATTTATATCCTCCTCTAAGTTACAGTAGAACTCTCAAGTTTCAACAGGGAACCTGAAACTACAGGTAGGATATCAGACCGATAAAATCAAGAGTTGAAAGATAAATAAACCAAAAAAGAGGTAACTTATAATCATGTAACTTCACAAATTTCTAATATTTTGGAGATCAATTTTTATTATGTTGATGTCCATGCAGGTGAGACCTGGTTCTACTTGTGCTGTTTTTGGTCTGGGAGGAGTTGGCCTCTCAGTAGTCATAGGCTGTAAAACATCTGGAGCATCCCGGATCATTGGGATTGACATCAACAAGGCTAAATTTCCCATAGCTAAAGAGCTGGGTGCCACTGAATGTATCAGCCCTCTGGATTTCAAGAAGCCCATCAATGAAGTGCTGCATGACATGACTGATGGAAAAGGCATGGACTATTCCTTTGAAGTGATTGGACATACTGACACCATGGTATGTGCATAACATACATTGTTTGATAGATCTTAAAGGGAAGGGACTAAAACATATGCACTGCTTTTCTTATTCCCCTTTTTCTTGAGATTCTGCTCCAGTAAACTGTTGCAGCAAAGCTTCTGACAGCAAGGCCAGTGAGCAAGGATTCTAGAAGTTGAAACTAGAGCTTGTTATCATAGAGGAAAGCTGGTTCCACTGAGTTTTATCGCAAATCTTTTTTTTATGGCAACCTAATATTGTCAAAACTGAATCATCACAAGAATAGAAAGTGATGTAAAATCTTCTGAACAGTGACACAGACAGCAAAACAAACATTAGTGGGATATTACATATATTACTGGAGTTACTCTTTAAAAATATACCCCTCTGTGTAACATACAAATTCAACCTTGTTTGAAACTCAGGGACTTCCCATACTTGATACAATGCTGAAGAAGTATACTAATACAGGAAACCCTATAAGGTTTTAATTTTTTTAATTGTTTTATTGTGTGTACAGGAAATAAAACATACAATCGAAAAAGAAAAGAAAAAGACTTACAAAAGAATTAACAGGTTTACAAAATAATATACAGTCATAGAATCATAGAATCATAGAATCAAAGAGTTGGAAGAGACCTCATGGGCCATCCAGTCCAACCCCATTCTGCCAAGAAGCAGGAATATTGCATTCAAATCACCCCTGACAGATGGCCATCCAGCCTCTGTTTAAAAGCTTCCAAAGAAGGAGCCTCCACCACACTCCGGGGCAGAGAGTTCCACTGCTGAACGGCTCTCACAGTCAGGAAGTTCTTCCTCATGTTCAGATGGAATCTCCAGTCAGTGCTCTTTAAATATGAGAAAAAACAAAATTGGCTGTACAGTTATTATACCTCAACATTTCTTATTCCTCTAACCCCACACCCTTGAATCCAACACCCATGACCTCTGATGCCCCTCAATACGGATATCACTAGCCAGCAACTACCCATATGTCTTCTTTCACTAATTTTCCCTTTATGGGAATCATCTAATCTACCTTTGTCTTCTTTTCCAGATACCCAAGTGCCAGCCTCCATTTGTTTGTGTATTCTTCATTATTTCCTCCTCTGCTACTATTTGTCAGCTTGGCTATTTGGATATAATCTACCAATGTGGGTGGCTTGACTGGCTTTTAATGGTGGATACTGTGGGGTGTGGCTGCATAATGTGGCTGCTGTGGGTCCCTTCCCCCTGAATATGTCTAGTTGGGATGTCATCAGATACATCCACAACTGTGCATGGACAACATCCCACTGTAAAGCAGGGTAAAAGGCTGCTTTCATATGAAAAGCTTCACAATAGGATAGCCATGCTGGACTCGCAAAATTGCCATAAGCTCTGTTTATTATGCCCATATATCTTATTAAGGAGTATGCCCACCATGGCTAAGCAGAATCAGCTAATATAATATAAACTTGCATGTAAAAGATCAGAGATAAATTGGATAGGTGGAGATAGCAAAAGCTGGAAGTGCTGGCCAACTAAGCTGCAAATTAATTAGCTGAAACAGTGATTGATAGGATTGTAGTTGAAACCAAATGGCTGACGCAATCTGGCCAAGATGGCTGACCAAACTCCCCATGCACGCAGCATGGCCATGATGGCCTCCAAAGCACCACTGGGCCTTTGCTGGGCATAAAAGTAAACCTAAAGCAAGAAGGAAGGGTCTAAAAGTAGGCTGCACCTTGCCAGTCCCTAGCGGAGCCTACTATTGCTGGAGGCGGTTGGGCCTAAGGAGGCCTGAAGCTGAATTTGAAGGAAGGGAGCAGCAGGAGGCAACTGAAGATGAACTCTCAAACCTCCGGCCAGGCCTCCAAATGAGCCTTTGCCTTCCTGCTGAAGGAAGGGAGGAAGAGATGCGGCGACGGAGGCAAGGGAGGAGGTGGCCTCACTGAAAGTGGTGACGCAGTTCATGCTCATCTACCACTTCACTTGCTTGCATGCTGGTCGCTTCATAGGAAACCTGCTACAAAACAGGAGCTTTTTTGTTGAGTTCCAGGGCCAGAGAAGCAGATGGTGGAAACAGAAGAACGGCCTGCCTCAGGGGAGCGTGCTTGCTCCATCCATGTTCAACATCTACACAAATGACCAGCCACTGCCAGAAGGGACAGAGAGTTTTATCTATGCTGATGATCGCGCCATTACCGCTCAAGCAGGGAGCTTTGAGATGGTAGAACAGAAGCTCTCCAAAGCTCTAGGTGCTCTTTCCCTATTACAGGGAAAACCAGCTGATCCCCAACCCATCTAAAACACAGACATGTGCCTTTCACCTTAAGAACAGACAAGCATCCCGAGCTCTGAGGATTACCTGGGAAGGAATCCCACTGGAGCATTGCAGCACACCCAAATACCTGGGAGTCACCCTGGACCGTGCTCTGACCTACAAGAAGCACTGCCTGAACATCAAGCAAAAAGTGGGCGCTAGAAACAATATCATACGAAAGCTGACTGGCACAACCTGGGGATCACAACCAGACACAGTGAAGACATCTGCCCTTGCGCTATGCTACTCTGCTGCTGAGTATGCATGCCCAGTGTGGAACACATCTCACCACACTAAAACAGTGGATGTGGCTCTTAATGAGACATGCCGCATTATCACGGAGTGTCTGCGCCCTACACCACTGGAGAAATTACACTGTCCTTATTGCACCACCTGACATCCGCCGGGAAGTAGCAGCCAATAGTGAAAGGACCAAGGCAGAGACATCTCCAGCTCATCCCTTGTTTGGGTATCAGCCAGCACGCCAACAACTTAAATCAGAAATAGTTTTCTAAGATCTACAGAGACACTCGCTGGAACACCTCAGCAAGCGAGAGTCCAAAAGTGGCAGGCTCAAACCCAGAACCTCAACCAATGGCTGATACCCAATGAGAGACTCCCCCCTGGGCACACAGAAAACTGGGCAACTTGGAAGGCGCTGAACAGACTGCGCTCTGGCACCACGAGATGCAGAGCCAACCTTAAGAAATGGGGCTACAAAGTGGAATCCACGACATGTGAGTGTGGAGAGGAACAAACAACTGATCACCTGCTGCAATGCAACCTGAGCCCTACCACATGCACAATGGAGGACCTTCTTGCAGCAACACCAGAAGCACTCCAAGTGGCCAGCTACTGGTCAAAGGACATTTAATCAACTATCAAACTCACAAATTTTGTATTTTGTCTGTTTGTTTGCTTTGTTCTGTTAGAAATGTAATATAATTGACTGGTTGCCCTGACACGACAAATAAATAAATAAACCGCTTCACTGGGCTCCAGTTGGGAAGAAGGAGGAAAGGGGGCAGGTGTCCTTGCCGAAAAGGATGGCAGCGACTGGGCCTTCAAATGGAAGAAGGAGACAAGGGAGGAGGTGCCTTGCTGAAAGAAGTGGCACCAGTGCTAGCACGCTGTTCCGCTGGGCCTCAGAGAAGGAGGCGAGGGAGGAGGCAGTCTTTGCGGAAGTGCTAGCGGCCTCGCCTGGGCCTGGCTAGGCCTCCAAAGGGAGACAAAGGAGGAGGCGGAAGCAGTGGTGGCACTTGCACTTGTCTACTAGGTCCTGGCTGGGCCTCCAAAGGGGAGAAGGGGGTGAAGGAGGAGGTGGCCTTGTGGGAAATGGTGGCAGCATTCGCCTGCCACTCCAGCTGGGTCTTCAAAAAAGGGGTGGAGAGGAGGCGTCATCCGTCACTCCGCTGGGTCCCACAGAGGGGGCAGAAGATAACGACTGAACTGCATGCCTGAAAGCACCCTAGCTATGGCCAAAGGGAGGTTGAGGGGCCGAAGGACAAAGAAGAACAAGAAGAGGTAAAATTTAAAATTTAATTTAAAATTTAATCAAAAGAAAGACCTGGGCCCCATCCAACCCCTCACTCCAAACCCTTGCTCCACGTGGCTTCCTGAAGAGCAGCAACACATGCATCCTTCTCCTTGTACTAAAGGGAGACAGAAACGAGAGGGGAAGGGGCTACCTGCAGGAAGGGTCCTTAGGCCCCTTCCCCCTGCTGATTAGCACGAATGCAAACCGGAAATGCTGGTCTTTTGCAGGGGATTCAAGTGCTTCCCTCTGGCCATTTAGTTAGCCCCTTCTGTTCAGAGGTGTCTGTTATGGCAATCATCAAATCTAGCTTTGTCTTTTCCAGATACCCAAGTACCAGCCTCCATTTGTTTGGCAATTATTCATTTTTTCCTCCTCTGTTACTATTTGTCAGCTTGGTCATTTGGATATAATCTACTTATTTATCTCTCCAATCTTTAATACTTAACTCTTTCCCACGCTTCCATGTTTTAGCTATTATTAGTCTTTCAGCAACAAAACAATATTGGCAAATTTCTTCATCTCCTGCACTAATACACCTTCTAAATAATCCTAATAAACACACTGACCTTTTTGTTGATCATATTGTTTGTTTCTTTCACCACTTTTCCCCCAAATTCTTGAACTATATTACAGGTCCACCATATGCAGAAAAAAGATCCCTTCTTCTTCTTGCATCTCCAGCATGCTCCTCATAGTGTTTTCTCTAATTTGGGCAATAGCAGAGCATGTAGTAGGTTTTTCTTCAGATTAATCTGAGTGTGTGATTTTGGATTTGTCTTAGGCTGCTGCATTGGCTTCCTGCAACAAGAACTACGGTGTCAGTGTGATGGTGGGAGTACCACCCTCAGCAGCGGACATGACTATATCACCAACACTTATTTTTACAGGGCGCACTTGGAAAGGATCTCTGTTTGGAGGTAAGGCTGAAATAACGAGCTAGTTGTTATTTCTTCATTCAGTTTCTTCCAACTCTTCATGAACTCAGGAACCAGAACACGCCAGAGCTCCCTGTTGGCTGTTGCCACCCCCAGCTCCTTCAAGGTCAAGCCAGTCACTCCAAGGATACCATCTATGCATCTTGCCCTTGGTCGACCCTTCTTCCTTTTTCCTTCCATTTCCCCCAGCATCATGCTTTTCTCTAAGCTTTCCTGTCTTCCCATTATGTGGCCAAAGTACTTCATCTTTGCCTTTAATATCCTTCCCTCCAGGGAGCAGTCAGGCATTATTTCCTGGAGTAAGGACTGGTTTGATCTTCTTGCAGTCCGAGGCACTCAGAATTTTCCTCCAATGCCTCAGCTTTCCTTGTGGTCCAGCTCTTGCATCAATAGGTTACTATGAGGTATACCATTACTTTAACTATGCAGACCTTCATCTACATACTCTTCACTGTTTTATTGAGATTGGTCATTGCTCTCCTCTCAAAAAGTAAATGCCTTCTGAGTTCCTGGCTGCAGCCTGTGCCTGCAGTCATCTTTGTGCATAGAAATACAAAGTCTGTCATTGCTGCCATGTTTTCTTCCTCTATTTGCCAGTTATCAATCAGCCTGGTTGCCATAATCTAGGTTTTTTGGATATTTAACTGCAACCCAGCTTTTGCACTTTATTCTTTCACCTTGGTTATAAAACTCCTCAGCTCCTCCTTGCTTTCAATCATCAAAGTGGTATCATCTGCATATCTAAGGTTAATGTTTCTTCCAGAAATTTTAACTCCAGCCTTGGATTTATCAAGCCCCACACATTGCATGGTGTTCTGCGTATAAGTTGAATAGGTAGGGTGAGAGTATACAGTCCTGCCATACTCCTTTCCCAATTTTGAACCAGTCTGTTGTGCTGTAGTATGTTCTTACTGTTGCTACTTGGTCATTATACAGATTCCTCAGGAGACAGACATGGTGATTTGGTATCCCACAGCACCAAGAACTTGTCACAATTATTATGATCCACACAGTCAAAGGCTTTAGGATAGTCAATAAAATAGAAATAAATGTTTTTTTTTCTCCCTATCTTCCTTCATTATTCAGCGTATACTGGCAATTTGGTCTCTCGTTCCTCTACCTTTTCTAAAGCCAGCTTGTACATTTGGCAACACTCGCTATGTGCATTGCTGGAGTCTACCTTGCAGGATCTTGAACAGTGGTTCTCAACCTTACTAATACTGTGACCCCTTAATACAGTTGTTCATATTGTCATGACCCCCAACCATAAAATCATTTTCGTTGCTACTTCATAACTGTAATTTTGCTATTGTTATGAATTGTATTGTAAACATCTGATATGCAGAATGTATTTTCATTCACTGGACCAAATTTGGCACAAATATGCAATACACCCAAATTTGAATATTGGTGGGGTTGGGGGGTCTGATTTGTAATTTGGGAGTTGCAGTTGCTGAGATTTATAATTCGCCTACAATCAAAAGGCATTCTGAACTCCACCAACGATGGAATTGAACCAAACTTGGCACACAGAACTTTCATGAAAAAATATATGTTTTCTGATGGTCTTTGGTGACCCCTCTGACACCCCACTCGCAACCCCCCCCCCCAAGTGTCCCAACCCGCAGGTTGAGGAACGCTGATCTTGAGCATTACCTTACTGGCATGTGAAATAAGTGCCACTTTACGAAAGTTTGAGCATTCTTTAGTGTTTCCCTTTTTTGGTACGGAGATATAAGCTGATTTTTTCCAATCTTGATGGCCATTCTTGTGTTTTCCCTATTTTCTGGCATATGGCATGTATCATCTTGACAGCATCATCTTTCAAGATTTTAAACAGTTCAGCTAGGATCCTGTCGTCTCCTGCTGCCTTACTATTAGCAATGCTTCATAAGGTCCATTCAACCTCACTCCTCAGGATGTCTGGTTCTAATTCACTCACCTCACCATAAAAGCTATACTCGATATTATTACCTCTCCTATGCAGAACTTCTGTATAGTCTCGCCACCTTCTCTTGATCTCTTCAGCTTCTGCTAGGTCCTAGCCATCTTTGTTTGTGTGGAAGCTAGTACAAGACTGCTAAAAAGATGTAATGTGTTCTGTGATCATGGGAAATTCAATATGTGAGATTTGTGGGAGAAGGATGAAAAGAGGAGAAGCTTTCTGAGTTGAATGGCATAACACAAAGTGTAAGCCCAGATGTTGCTTTAACTCTCAACAGCCCTAGAAAGCATAGATAATATATTCCTTGTGTAAAATAATGTGTATGTTTCAGTGCAGAAATCTGTGGGTTTATACGAGCTTTAACAAGTTAATGAGAGCAATCTTATTTACAGGTCTGAAAACCAAAGATGATATTCCTAACCTGGTTTTGGGAGTCATTGAGAAAAAGTTCAATCTAGATCCACTAGTCACCCATGTTCTGCCTTTTGAGAAAATCAATGAAGGCTTTGAACTCCTCCATAAAGGACAAAGGTAAATATGTACTTTAGCTTTTAGTCTAAGTGTTAAATATGATTTGTAGATTGTCATATCTGTTTGTGGGCAAAACATTCAGATCCCAAGTTGCTCATTTCAAGTTCAGCTACAATCCAGAGCAGTTTCTCCATCCTGTTTTTCTTTATTTGGTTGAAAATTATTGTGCTGGTCCAAAATATAATGTACTGGTGTGGGAAATTTTCTGAAATTTCTGATGATGCCAGACTGTGGATCAATTCCTCTTTTTCTATTTCAAATATTACAACGAGGATTTAAATCTGAAATTTTCTGTTGAAGTATATTGAAAGTAATGTTGGATAGGACCAAGAGTGCAATCCTAACTAACTAAGATAGCCAGAAGAGTACAGAGCCAAAAGTAAAATTCTGTGAATACTAAACCTAACCTACTTAAGAGATGCTGGAAATGATTTAGAACTACTCTCAACCTCGCTCAAATCTTCATTAAGCTGAACAGAAGCTACTACATTTAACTTTAAATTGTGTTCTGATGTTTCAGTATTCGCACTGTTCTGAAAATGTAAAGATCCTGGAAGGGAAAATACAAGGCACCTGGATTCCAGCAGAATGACCAATTACAAATTACATCATGGAACATCTGTGGAAAGAGTTGCATATTATTGTATTCCAAGCAGCAATATTGCTTTAGCAACTTATAATTCAATCCTAGCTTTCTCAGGGTAAAATACAAGATAACCCTGACTTCTTACTCATATTCTCAATGCCTTGGAGACTATGTTTAATTAAGCCATAGTAAACCAATCATTGTCATCATGGGGTGGTGGGGTATTAGTACGCAGACATATATTTGTATGGGAATGAGTCTCATTGAATTAACATCTGAGAGCAAATGCACTGCTAATCACTATCTTGCAATTATCCAAGAGAACTATATTTAGTGGAAATATAATTACTAAAATAATTTTATAATTCTCAGTGCAGACTCTGCCTGAAATACTGTAATTTTGGAGAATATTTTGTTTATTTTACATGAAATGCTGGCATTGGCTAATAAATATTTTTTTCTCAGTAATCCTGTCTCATACATATTTTTGTTTTTGTTTATTAATTCAACCTCAAGTATGTTTTAACAGGAAAATAAATTAGGTTCTTGTGGGTTTTTTCGGGCTATAGGGCCATGTTCTCTACTTTACTAATCTTATATAATAAAACTATGGAAAACAAAATAACTCCAGAGACATGGAAAAAATCAGACATTATAACTATTTAAAAACCAAATGAGGAAACTGATCCTAACTCCTAAAGGCCAATAACTTTATGTAACATGGACTATAAAATATTTACAAAAATTATAGCAAACAGATTGAAAGAGATAATGCCCATTTTAATAGAGGAAGATTGGTATGGGTTTATTTTAAAAAAGAATGATTGATGACCCAGTCAGAAATATTGTAAATGTAATTGATCACACAAGAGATAAAACAATTTTTTTCTTAATAAAAGGAGACGTTTAGAAAGTATTTGATACTGTTATGGTTCAGCCTGTGATTATTCCACTGCCTGAGATTTAAGAGGACATTGAGCTAGTATCTGAAAACTCACAGAAGTCTGGTTCTGATGGGGGTGAGGATTCTGGGAATGTTTGGCCAGAGGTGGATTTCCAGTTGGAGACAGATTCAGAGGCTGACAGGCCTGAGCTAGATTTCTCAAGGGAACCAAAGTCAGACTCTGATCGGAATGTAATAATTGCAGATGTGGAGCCTCCTGACTCCCCTGCTTCTCCTGAGTTAGATAGAAGAAGAACAATTTGTCAACAAAGACAAGCAACTGAATGGAGGCATGTTCACAGCACCTCTTGACAGTGCGAGTACATCAATAGGTACCTCTCCAGTGGAAAGGTAACGCTCTCCATGCATTCATGCCAGCCACATGGCCTTGGAGGCATCTACGGACAATGCAGGCTCTTCAGTTTAGAAATGAAGATGAACACCACTTCCTAGAGCAGTGATGGGCAACCTTTTGAGCTTGGTGTGTCAAAATTCCAAAAAAACCTGAGCATAACTTGGGTGGGGTGTCACTTCGAGAGAGAAAAACACACCATAATTTTGCAATATTTATAGTTTAAATAAGAAAAATATATAATCCATGCTGAGTTATGGAGTGAACAATGCTCAAATGTGCAGATGTTAAATTTGTAGAGCCTTTAACAAATTTTAGGATGGAATTAGATTGGCTCTTATAAGGTATACTTCTCTGTATGCGGCTGCATGTGTCTGCATGTCATCAAAAATAGCCATGCGTGTCAGTGCTGACACGTGTGTCATAGGTTCACCATCACGGTCCTAGAGTCACACATGACTAGACTTAATGTCAAGGGGAAACCTTTACTTAGTGCACCATCGATTGTAATAGGCCCCTAAATTTTGAAAAGTGAGGGAGAAGCTGGCTGGGAAGAGGGGGGCCATTTTCCATTACACAGCACTTAGAAGTATTTAGAGTTTGAAGAACCATACACATTTTAGGTTTAAAGAACAAAACCTGGACACAATAAGAGCATAGGACCAGTCATATTTGGTCAAATTTTCTGGGCTCTCCTGTACAAATCACATTATACATCTGCTACCCTGAAGATAGTAAAATAAATGTAATCACAGCAGCAACTGCCTTTTCATTTCCTTCAGATGCAGAAGGTTGTATTTTTACTGAATGAGTGCGGTTTCTTCATGTCTTCAAATCTACAGACTTTCCCCAGTATTAAGATGCACCGAAGTCCTGCTGAGTCATTTTCAGATTTAAATAAGCAACGGATTTAAGCACAAGCCAAGTAAATGGGGCCTCTTCAAACTGGCATAGCTCATTTCCTCAACATGTCTTAGCACAGGCAGTGAACACTCGCACACAACTGAATTCCGATCCTTGCATATAATGGAGCTACAGTAAGCAATGTGGCATCAGAGGAGTGGCCATTGCCAAGTCCTTGGGGTGGGGCTCAGTAAACACTGGATTATGTTATATAACAACTAATCGTATCTTTGCAGCTACTTTAAAAAGAAAGTTTGTTCCATCTGGGATGCAGGCTGCAAGCACTGAAACCTCGCAGAAAGGCTGTTTTTTTGCAAAGCGTACAATCATGAGCACTGCAGGGAAAGTAAGTAGGTGATTTCTTTTAAGATTGCTTTTTCACTGCAGGGAGAATATAGTAAAAACTGGCAGCTAAACATTAAAATAGAAATAGCCTAAACAATCTTAGACAGAACTTAGAAAGATTAGTCTTAGGACCTAAATTCTCATGGTACTCCAATGCACGTCGTTTCTGGTGTGAGAGATTTGGCTGTCTGCAAGGACATTCCCAGGGAATGCCTGGATGTTCTGATGTTTTACCATCCTTGTGGGAGACTTCTCTCATGTCCCCGCATGGGGAGCTGGAGCTGACAGATGGAGCTCATTCATGCTCTCTCCAGATTCGAATCTCCGACCTGTCAGTCTTCAGTCCTGCCAGTGCAAGGGTTTAACCCATTGCACCACCAGGTTTGCAGTTTCTCAAGTCACTCCTCACACACACACACACACACACACACAAAATAGAACTCTAATTAGCATGACTGTGCCCGCAGTCAGGGCTGTGTCAGCAGAGAGACTATGGAAACCATATAATCCCAAAATTTCTTTATGGCCTGTCCCTTCAAGCAAGCCCCTCTGAACTTGAGGAGAGTAAAGCCCTATATAAACTGCTATGAGAATCTAGAAATAAAAAAGCAAGAATGTGTATTTCAAGTTATAAATATAAACACTGGGTTGTTGTAGGTTTTTATAAATATAAACACTGTCTCATCTCCTATTATTTTTACAGGTCATCAAATGCAAAGCTGCCATAGTCTTTGAAGCTAAGGGACCACTTAAGGTTGTGGAAATAGAAGTGGCCCCTCCAAAAGCACATGAAGTTCGTGTCAAGGTAAAGGAGATCTTCTTGATTAGTGAAGATTATCAGTATTTACACACATTCATTCAAAACACTTCTGCTAAGTAAAATAGAGCAGTTGCCTCTGTTAGCTTCTGCCTCAAGTCAGGGAGGCTAAGGATTGGGACAACTTTTCTCTCCATCCTTCTCTAGCATACTACACTAAACTTTTGTAAAGTGTTGGTTTATTGTGGGTGCTAAAGGAAGCTTCAACGGTTGATCCAGAGGGATGGAATAGATGCAGAAATGTGGAGGGGAGGAGGCATCACATTCTTCAAGCAGCTACATATCTTGAACTGCTCTGATTCCTGAAGCTGGAAGTCTGCCACTGAACTGGATCTCTGATGTACAAGTGTGCCTCTAACATAGGCATGGCCACACTGTGGCCCTCCAGGTGTTTTGAACTTCAACTCCCACAATTCCTAACAGCTGGTAGGCTGTTAGGAATTGTGGGAGTTGAAGTTCAAAACACCTGGAGGGCCAAAGTTTGCCCATACCTGCTGTAACACCCAAAGTGGCTTCATTATCCATTTTGCTGAAGAAATTGTGAATTACATCCACAAGAAATATATCTATTCATAGGCATGGGCTAGCACCTTGTTCATGACATAAACCTGCAAAATGCTGGTTTGTATCCATTTTAACAGTTGTAGAGGGAGGAAGTTCTTTACTTACTTTGCACAACAATCCTCACTGCTTAATGCACTAGTTCTCCCCAAATATTGACATGTAGCAGATGGTGGAGAGCTGAGAGCAGCAGAGGAGTATCCAACTATCTCCTTCTAGCCACAGATCTACAGGATAAAAGTTTCTTCCAGGATCTTTCAGTGGTCTTCTTGAGGTCTTAGAATATAACCTTATTGTTGGGACTCCACATATTGGGAAGTAGCCAGACGTTCCTTCACCCCACCCCACAGTTGCTCCATGGCTATGCTGGACAGGGATCTTTGTAGGAAGAGGGTGAATACCATACAGAAAGACGGTGGATGGAATTCCACATTGTGCCAAATTTTATGCCCACCTCCTGAAGGAAATACATGGCCAAGGTGCATGAACAAGGCCAAGGTGCAAGGTCTGAAAGTATACAATTTTTGGATGAAACCCCCAAGCAGCCTTGGCAGTGACCATCCTGGCTAATGGACTCTGAAGGTTTTAGTCCAAACCATTAAATTTATTGAAAACCATGGGATGGACAAACTGGATAGGTCTTTGCCTGTTGTCACATCCCCCGGGGTCAAATCCACACCTTCTGTGGTCCACAAGCAACCATACCATCTCCCTTATGAGACCATTTTTTGGGTGGTCTCTACTATTCCTATCTCCATTCTGAAATATTTGAATGCTTTTCCAAACCTTAGTTATACTGGAAGCATTGGGCTCACATATGCTGGTGCTTGTTTTTAAAAAGATTTTTAAATTATGTTTATAATTTATTATATGAGTAGATTTTGTACATTTATTCCATACATGTCCTTTATCTATTACATTTCCCCGCCCTCTTCCTATTTCTCACTCTTCTTCCTTTCTATATTATCCACACATTTATCTAATATATCTTAGCTCTAGTCACTTCTTTTCTCCCCTCCCCTCCCCCACCTCACCCCATACTCATACCACAGTTTGCATTGTAACTTTAACTTCATCCATGAGCTCAGCTTTTCTCATTTCTGTACAATATTTACATTAACTTCACCACTTTTTATCCATTTCATATATCTCAACCATTTCTCTTTAATTTCCTAATATTTCCATCTGCATCAACTCCATATTGATGGACCTTCTTATAGCAACACCAGAAGCACTTCAAGTAGCCAGCTACTGGTCAAAGGATATTTAGTACAACGCCAAGTTTTTAAACTTTGTGTTTTTAAATACATTACAACTGTACCCTCGGTTTGCTTCTGACATGATAAATAAATAACTCCATATTTACTTGAAGTGGTATTTTAAATAATACCACTTGACACTGTAGATTAAGCAAAGGATGGTATGTTCACATGTAGAAGACAAAAAGCCTTTTGGAAACAAATAACAAAGAAAATGGATGTGCTGGTGCTTGTTGCCCTGCCCGTTTGCCTTTGGCCCTGCCTTTGGCTGGAAGAGGTATCCCACCTATTCTCTAATCTCCTGTCAAATATAATTGCTGCAAAGGTATACTTTGATTATGTCAACAACAAAAGCTTGAGGTATTCATAGAAATCTTAGTTAATGGAAGCTTTTCCCAACAGGTTTGTGCTAGCTTTAAAATTCAAGCTAACACAAGAAGATATTCAATGCAGCTACATCCAGAGATGACATCAGTCTTAAATATGAAATGCAATAGGCATTTATAAAGTCAGATTCACTATCCAGACACATCTGTAAGAGTATTAAGCTATCTTTATATTACATAGAATATGTCTAGTTCCATGTACTTGGAGATCCTGGGCAAGTTGCATGACTTCAGTTTCAACTTGTTTTTCCTCATCCAGCCCATTACCTCCTCCAGACATTCATTCAGAGGAGACACACTATCCTTAACTGAGGCTGTTTTTGAAGGAATGGAGAAAGATATATGGGTGCTATCAGCATACTGATAACAGACCACCCCATGCCCCCGGATTATATTTCCCATTGGTTTCATGTAAATATTAAAAAGCATTGGGGATCTAATGGCCCACTGTGGGATGCCACATAACAGCTCATAGCACCAGGGTTGGGAAGAAACTTCCCTAAATGATAAATAATGGCATGAAATTTTGAAATGGAAGAAATATTCTTTATTACAGATTTTGGCTACTGGAATCTGTCGCACAGATGACCATGCACTGAATGGTACAATACAAGTGAAGTACCCCACCATTCCTGGCCATGAAGCAGCTGGAGTTGTGGAGAGCATTGGGGAAGGAGTTACCTGTGTGAAACCAGGTATGGCAATGAGAAGACATATACATGTCAGGTAACTCGAACAGAGGACTGGGAAGTTTCCCCATGCAGAAATCTGGCTAAAAGAGTGAGGGGAAGGGAGGGAAGAAAACTAATTTGGTGATAGTAGATTTTTTATTGGTTAGTTTCATCTTGGCAGATATCTGATATATTGCAAAGAAAGAACAAAGAAGGTAAGGGTTACTGGGGTATGGGGAGTTATTTTACAAAATTATCATTACTACAACTAAGTTTTCTTCTCTACTCCTTTGACACACATTTCATAAAATATTAAAGGTTCTAACAATTTTACATCTATTAGTTTTTTCTTCTCGTATCTTCTCAGTTGTTCACTTGATCTTCATATCTTCTTCTCCAGTTATTCTTCACTGAAAGTTAATCTTAATTATTAATGGCAAATTATTTCACTTAGTACTTTTCTCTAATTATTTAATATTATCTACAGGAAAAAATTTTTTACAATTTTCCTTTAAGCTGTTAGTAGAATAGCATTAGGCTGTTTGTCCAACCACATCTCCCTATATAAGCTATCTCATGCACTGTGGTCAGCAGAGGGAGCCCCTGCTCTCAGTCCCACCCCTGCCTCAAGCTTGGCTGGTGGGAATGAGAGAAGGGGCCTTTTCCATGATTGCTCCCTGTCTCTGGAAGTCCCTCCCTAAAGAAATAAAAACGCCCCCCATGCTCCTCTCCTTTAAGAAACTTTTGAAGACGCAATCATGCACTTTAGCATATGGAGAAGAGGAAGTCGAAGATACTACTCGAATGTTGGCAAACCCATTTGCACTATTCTGGCTACGACACATTTTTAATAAACACCTCTGTTAGCCATTTTAAATGCAATTCATGTTTAACTTTTTAATGTTTACACATGTCCTAGTTTATTGTCTAATTTGGTTTATTACTACCTAGTACCCATTTCAACGTTCAATTCTTTAATTATAAGTTTACTATTATTATTCTTCATTATTCTGCATGATGTTGTTTGTTACTTTGTAAGGCATTGAATGTTTGCCTTAGATTAGAAATGTGCCTACACCCAAGGCAAGCAGAGGCGTGCAAGAAAGTTGATACGCTTCTTTTTTTCTTGCATATCTTTTCACATTTTTTTACATATTAGATTCAGCAGCTAAGATAAGAAGAGAATAATCTGAGCTGGCACATCTTGGTGTTGAGGAATTAGAACTGCCATCATATTTCTGCATGCCAAAATATGCATTTTACACAGTTGATTTGTCATCAAAATTAATTGCATGATTAAACACAATTCTCAAAGCAACATATGATCAAAAAACATATGAATAAAAAACAGAATAATGAAGCAAAATATACAAATTCAGCCTAAGAGGATAAAAACAAATTTCAACACCAGGAAAAAATAATGCTACCACACTAGAGGAAAAGATATATACCCAGCACAGAAATATTAAGTGTCATTCGGATTAGTGCAAAGAAGTGAGAGATCTTGCAACAGAGAGCCTGTCTTATTACCAGCTGGTGCTTTTTGGTGCATCCACTTACAGCTTCTCCCATCCTTGGAACATGGGGGAAATTCACCATATTTCTTTTTTCTCTGCATCACATTGTTTTTGGGAGGGAAAAGTCCCTCCTGAAGCAATGTGATTTGAAAATACTTTTCTAGGCAATCCCAACTAATAATATATGGGGTTTTCTGTTGTGAGCAATATTGTTTTTTGCAGTACTTTGGAGAAGCCAATGAGTGGTGAGCAATTTTACCATTACTTTAATACCTTCAAGCTCACAATGTTTTTTCTATAATTCCTAGGAGATAAAATCATCCCACTCTGTCTCCCACAATGTGGGAAATGCCGACCTTGCAAGAAACCTGAAGGCAACTTGTGCGAACAAACTGAGTGAGTTTTTGTTATCATTTCCAGCATTAGAAAGTACTAATACATTACTGAAACTTTTCTTGTTCTTGTTTAAACTCAAACATCTCAACTATCCTCTTCCGTATTTACAGCTTTTTCAAAAACACAGGGTTAATGTATGATGGCACTAGCCGATTCTCTTACAAAGGTAAACCAATTCACCATTTTGCTAACACCAGCACCTTTACCGAATACACCGTGGTGCATGAGGATTCAGTGGCCAAAATTGATCCTGCAGCCCCACCAGAGAAAGTCTGTCTGATGGGCTGTGGCTTTTCCACTGGATATGGCGCTGCCACCAAAACTGCAAAGGTAGGCATTCATGACATAGGTGGGTGACCTGCAGAAGGAGGGATTTTTGGCACACTGAATTTTGTCCCTGTGATTTATCCATTGTTAAGCTGCAGTACCAAATATTTCCATAGATTGTATTTCATTTAAGTTCAGTGATGAAGAGTTTGACCAAAATCTGATTGATCAACCTCAAAGAGTTTAAGCCTATTGAGTGAATTGTTGTGTAGTGTATCACTGTATAGGTAAATCTCATTGATTCAATGAATCTACTCTAGTTAGGAGAAATGACAATCTTCAGAATGTAATATCAGAGTCCGCAGGAAATATTTTTGTAGAATATGTCAACATATTATGAACTGCATGCTATGCTTGTTGTCCCTTAGATGCACTTGAGGAAATATACTTATTCTACAAAATCTTGTTCTACCACCTTTTATTCTCTCAATAAGGTTCTACAAGATCTTTTTGCATATTCCAGACTAACATGATTCTGCCTTGGAATTCTTGTCCCAAAATGCAATGCTGCAAACTGGCTGAAAGTTGGCCAGTGTAATGGGATCCAGGGAGGTGGGTTGGAGCAATGGTCTTATAGTTACCTACTTTGGTGTGCAGGTACTCAATCCTGTTTCAGTGATCACTCACTCAATCTACTTTTCCATCCACCTGTTTTGTTTTGCTTTTTTGATAAGCCAGAAAGAATTCAACACATATATAGTAGATCACACCTCTCCAAGAATCCTGTCAATATCACTAGGCGAAACAATTCAAAAGTGGAAGAATGTTAGTGAAACTTTGTACAACATTTTGGGTGGCAATGCAACAGGAATCCTTATCTCACTATGTAACACGATTTTTGTTCCTGGATCATTTCCTAATTGGTTGTATCATAAAAAACATGGGGAGAGTTCATTAAATTGCAAAAACTTTGTTTTTGTGGGACATCCTCCAGTACATTTTGCTACAGTTTTTCAATGAATATCTCATAGAGTCTCAAATAATTCAATATAGTTTGTGGCAGCCACAAAAATGATGTTTCTGAAGCACAACAACTGCTTTCAAAGTAAGTACTGCACAATTAAACAGGAAATAACACTTTCAAATTTTGTTACATAAGAATTTTTGGTGTAGGATTAAAATGTTGAAGCTGCTTCAGTGAGGATTAGATATTTATCTCCTGCTTCTAAGGTACAGAATTCTCCGGTTTCAACATAGAATGTGAAACTATAGAGAGGACATCCAACAGCTAAGATCAAGACCTGAAAGATTAAATAATTGGAAAAAAGATACTGATTGTACTAATCATGCAACTTCATATATCTAGAATTTTCCAGATCAATGTTTTATTATGTTGATGCAGGTGACTCCTGGTTCGTCTTGTGCTGTTTTTGGTCTGGGAGGAGTTGGCCTCGCGGTGATCATGGGCTGTAAAGCGGCTGGAGCATCAAGGATCATTGGGATCAACAGAAGCAAGGGAAAGTTTGCCAAAGCTAAAGAGGTGGGAGCTACTGAGTGTGTCAGTCCTTTGGATTTCAAGAAGCCCATCCATGAAGTGCTACTTGACATGACTGATGGGGAAGGTGTCGACTATTCATTTGAAGTGGTTGGAAGCACAGAGACCATGGTATGTGTATGACATACATTGTATGATAGACCTCGAATGGGAAGGACTGGAGCTTATGCATTATGTCTCAATTTTTTTGTAGTGATTTTGCTTCAATAAACTGTTTTTGCAAAGATCCATGCAGCAATGGATGCTTGAAGCTGAAAGCAGAGCTTATTCCGTTTTTCCTATTAATAACTCCAATCTTTGAGAAGTAGCTTGCTCCCATTATTTAATACAATGTTGAGAAAGTAGTTTACTGCCTAATGTCTTGCATTGATACAGGAAGCCCTAAAAGAAGAGGTTTCATAGAAGCACATAGAAGTATTTCCTTTGGCTCGATCTGAATGTGTCACTTTGAATTTGCCTTAGATTTCTGCATTGGCTTCCTGCAACTTGAACTATGGCACCAGTGTGGTTGTGGGAGCACCACCTTCAGCATCTGAGATGACTTTGTCTCCAACACTTATTTTTACAGGACGCACTTGGAAAGGCTCTGTTTTTGGAGGTATGGCCACAACAACTGCTAATGCTGGGCTGCTAAAAGGTTTTATTGCATTCCAATAGCTAGGTTTGTTGGAGAAGGGTAGGAGGTTTCCCAGTTGTATGGGACAGCACAGAATATAACCCCATATGTTGCTGAAACTCCCAACAGCCCTAGACAGCGAACCCGTTAACAAGTCAATGTGTGTCCTCTTTTGGCTGAACACAATCTTATTTGCAGGCCTGAGAAGCAAACATGATATTCCTGAGCTGGTTTCAGAATTCATGGAGAAAAAGTTCAATCTGGATCCACTAATTACACATGTTCTGCCTTTTGATCAAATCAATGAAGGATTTGAACTGCTCCGTAATGGAAAATGGTAAATATTTCCTCTTTTTAAATAGCTATTTTTCCCATAGGGACAGGAAGTCGAAGATAAAGGTGCTTTACAGGATGCTGAATCTGTGTGGGGGATGGAGTTGGATATTGTACTTCCTTGAGTCTAATGCATACATTTTGATGGATAAATTATGTAAAATTAGTGTGTGTTAGATTCAATTGCACATTAGAATTGTACATGTAAACCTTGCTTGTTGGCCGTTCTGCTGTGTCTTCCAATTTCTTGGACTCTTCAGTGCCTCCAAGGTGCACCTCTTCCCCCCCCCTCCTCCTCCTCCTCCTCCTCCTCCTCCTTCATCTCTTTGCCTGTGCTGTTGGGCAGTGACAATGACCAACATGTTCTGCTTCTCCTTTTTTTCCCTTAGCCCAACCAGTGCCAGCCACCATCCACATTCTTCCAATACGAAGTTAAGGGTGGCTTCAACAATATAGATACTACCTCCCCCCACCATGTGGAAAAAGCAAGCTGGTCAGTGCTTGGCCAAGGCACTGCAGATAGCTTATTTTGGAAACAACAGAAGTAACAAAAAGGGAAAAAGTGGGAGAAGTGAAATATGTTGGCCATCACCATTGCCCAATGGGGTAGGCAAGGAGGAGGGACACCGGAGAGACCCAGGGAGCCTTGCTGCTAGAAACCGCTCTCCAATCTCATAGTCAAAGGCAGTCCAGAATCATACACAGAAAGCAGTCTACAATGAAGGTCAAGCAGGAGAATAGTCAAAAGTCCATTCCAAAAGGTTCAGTGACCAATAAGATCACTATTGTCCAAGATATAGGCCTAATTAAGTGCATTGAGGAGTGCATTAGATTCAATGGCGTATTACTCAAGTAAATACAGTAGTTCATTTCAAGTTTGGGTTGCAATCGAGAGCAGGTCTCCACCCTGTTTGTCTGTATTTTTTCCACAATTGAAAGTGATCGGGGTGATCCAAAAGATAATGTAATGGTGTCGAAAAATCTCTGAAATTTCTGATGCTGTCTTTTCTTTTCTTTTTATTTCAAATATTGCAATGAGGACTTAAATCTTCTGAAATTTTCTGTTGAAATCTATTGTTAAACATCGGGTAATATCAAGAGTACAGTCCTAACCAGCTAAGACTCCCAAAGGACTGCCTAGACAACATTAAGCTTAGTGAAGTTCTACTAAATTTAAACCTAATAAAGTTTGCAGATGCTGGAAATTATTTAGGACTATTCTCAACCCAGTTCAAATTTGCATCATGTTACATTTAGCAGAATAGAAGCTAACCCTTTTAACTTTAAATTGTGTGTTCTGATGTTTCAGTATTCGCACTGTCCTGAAAATGTAAAGACCCTGTGGTGAAAATACAAGATAGCTGAATTCCAGCAGACCTATCAACTGCAAATTACATCATGGAACATCTGTGAAAAGAATTGTATAGTGTTGTATTGCAAGTTGCAATAATTGTTAATTCATCAATCAATCTTATCTTTCTGAGTGTGAAATACAAAATAACTCTATCTTTTGATTCAAACCTTATACACAGTCTCCAGGGCATTGAAAATATGAATTCAGTAAATTCTGGCATTAGCTAATGAATAAAACTTTTCCCCAATAACTGTTTCATGCCTCTTTGTAATTAAGGCTGCCTAAAGATAGACCATAGTGCGTGACTTCTCATGACTACTGCTGTGCAACCTAGGAGGAGGACAACTACTACTCTAGTTAACCAACACAATTCTGGCTTTAGGCTGCAATCCTGAAAGTTTCCTTGATCTCAGACACCTATTTCTAAGTGGATAAGCATAGTATTTCACTGTGGATGAGTTTCTTGAAATCATTCTACAGAAGTAAATGTGGTAAGTTTGCTCATTGCTCTTAAGCATAATGTTATAAATGCTTGGTGATGCATAAAACTACAATAATTTTCTGGAAACTTACCAATTTTTTAAAAGCTGTAAATTTCTAATATAACTGAGATACCAATAGGAATAAAGAATAAATATTTTTCTCAAGGACTTTCCATCCAACTTATTTAACTTCTCTTTGCAATTTAGAAGTGTAAACAGGACCAAATAATAGACATTAAAGTGTAATAAAAATCAACAATGATCTGGGTAAGACATAAGGGAAATGTAGAGTTTGGAAAAGCTGGCCAAGATTCTGCAATGCAAGACAGATAGAACTATGACATGTCTCCCTCACAATGCCTCCATTACTCACCTTTTAGCTACTACAGATCCCACTCCACAGACAGTTGGTAGCCAATGGAGAGTCAGGGATTTTGGGGAAGCATCTGGCTAGCTTTAATGGCTAGAGACAGAATGCTGGCATCATCCACCTAGACTTCTAAATACCTTTCATTCTGATGAGGATTTTAGTGTAGGTTTCTTTTAAATTGCAATGCATGACAATTTAACACAAACTTAACAATTACATTTTTATCTCCTAATGTAAATGAAGCTGAATTTGATTTTTCATTTTATTAATGACTAGTTTAGGTACCTGACAATGTCTGGGTTAGGTGTTTGGTATTTTATAACACTATTTTTAAAAAGCCATTGTTTTTGGATTTAATGAAAAGTCCCTTTAAGAAAATGGGTAAGGATGTGGGTGGACTACAACTCACATCATGAGAGGCTAACCCCCTCCCCCCAAAACCCCACCAGTACTTAAAGTTGGTTATCTTAGGTATGTATGCTAAGTTTGGTCCAGACCCGTCATCGATGGGTTTCATAGTGCTCTCTGGATGTGGTGTGAACTACAGCTCCAATCATTCTAGGTCATTCCCCCAAACCCCTCCATTTTCTGTTGGTCATTGGGAGGGGGATGTCTGTGTGCCAGGTTTGCTCTAGATCTGTCATCATATTTATTTTCCACAGCACAGCATATTTCTAAATATAATTATATACTCCAGTGTTTTAGGATATATGAATACTCAATGAAAAAGTCTCCTAAAAGCTTTACTGCAACAGGAAGAAAATTGCAGAAATTATTCATTCTACAAATGAGAGTAAAATAATAAAAATCACAATGACTCACTTTCAGATGTGAGAATAAAAGGGTGAAAGATTTACATCCCTAACTGATATGAAAGTGAGACACCATGCCAGTGAAACCAGCATAAAGGCAACAGTGAAATGTAATTTGGAGAAAGATATTAGGAACCTGGGTTACTTTTTAAAGAAGCTGTGAGCTTGGATCTTTAGGCAATTCTGATCTGTTTGCCTATTTTTGGGAGCACAAAGATGTCAGATGAAAAAGAAAGGAAGGAATGAAGGAATCAGTATGTTTGCTTAATTGTTTAAAGAGAGAACAACAAAAAGAAAAGGGGGAAATAGCTATCTCAAAGGGTCATTGAAAGCCACAAGCACATGGACTATTACAAGATTTTCTAATTGCCAATTATAGATGGGTTCAAATGGGCACTTTGTATTTGCATATGGTGTGCTCTCCACCTGGCAAAGTGAGAGAGGAGATTAGAAACGTGACTACACCCAAGGCAAGCAGGGGCGTGCAGGAAAGCAGATATGCTTCTTTTTTCTCTTTTATATCTCTTCACATTTTTCACATGTTAGATTCTGCAGTTAAGATAACAAGAGGATAATCTAAGCTGACACATCCCGAGTTGCAGAATTAGAACTGCCATCCCATTTCTGAATGCCAAATATGCATTTTGCACAGTCATCTGAATTAATTTCATGATTAAACATAATTTCCGAAGCAACATATTATCACAATGAGTACCTATGAAGAGGTGTGTGTGTTGTGTTTGTGTGTATATGACATATAGCCTTAGCTCCTTGGTTGTTTGCTGCAAAACTTTCACTTCATATTGTGTTTTTTCAAACTTTCTTGGCAGCCTCTCAGTTTTAAACTCTCTTTCAGAGATCTAGACAAAGGAATTTGTTATGTAAAAGTATACTTTCTGAATGCCTCTTTGTCCGAAACAGAATGAGAGCCTATTTGTTCTTGGCCTTGCCTATATGAATAGCCATGCAACAATATGCCTCTCTCAGTGTATATTTTCTATTCTCCAAAACATTCCCAAGAAACCCCAGGAAAATCTACTCCAGCCTCCTTCTTTCAGACAACAGTGTAAACGACAGTGCTATCAAAAACTAGTAGAATGTTGTTTTCCTTTCAAAGTAAAATGTTACTAGTTTTTGATTTGACAGCCCATGGAAATTTTTGGTCAAAATATTTTCTAGGAGTGTGAATATTTTGTCCTGGAAGTATAAAAACCCTCTCTGCATCCCCTGGACCATAATTATTACAGATCAATATCTAACCTTCCTTTTTGGGGCAAAAATATTGGGAAGGCAGTTGCCCTCCAATTCCAGCCAGTCTTGGATAGCACACATTTCCTTGACCTATTTCAAACCGGCTTCAGAGTAGGATACAGAGTTGAGAGTGCAATGGTCACCTTAGTGGATGATCTCCATCTAAACCTTGACAAGGAATGTAAGTCTCTGTTGGTGCTTCTAGACCTCTCAGCAGCGTTTGATACCAATGACCATGGTATCCTCTGGACCACCTGGAAAAGACTGGGAATCGGCAGTACTGCCTGCAATGGTTCCAGTCATGCCTCTCAGGTAGGTTCCAAAAAAGGAGCTGTTATGTCACATCCCACAATGCTTTTTCATATTTTCATCAAACCATGGAAGAGGTCATCTGGAGGCATGGGGTGGTGTTTTATCGGTATGCTGATGATACCCAAATATATTTCTCAGCTAAGGATAGCCTGGAGGAGCTAATGGGCTGGATTAGGAAAAACAAATTGAGACTGAATCCAGACAAACAGTAGTGCTGGATATAGTGAACCTAGATATAATATGGTCATAGGACCAGTCATATGTGGCCATATTTTATGGGCTCTCCCATACAAAACACATTATACCTATGCTATCCTGACTGGACTTGTGTGCAGAATTCATTTCTTCCATTTCCTCTGTTTCCTTCTGTACCTTTGGTCCTTCGGGAGTCCATAAAGGTAAGGGCCCTCCTGTAAAAAAACTTGCCCACAACAAAAGCAAGCGGGAGCTTACCTCAGCTCCTCTTCTGCTTTTCGGCATCACAGTTTAACCTTTTTAATTAATCCCCCAGCAAACAAAACCCCTCATTCCCTGAAAACTACTACCAGTTAGCTCTCCTCTTCCAGAGGTCATCACTCTTCTTTACTTGGAAGTGGGAAGTTTAAATGCCTTGGAAAGAGTATGCGGCTGCTTGCTGGCATGGTGCAGGCCTGGGAGAGAAAGCAGGTGTGTGCTTGCCTGCAGCACCTCTCCTCTAGAGTAGACAGCTTTAAGAACAAGAAGCCTCCTTAAAGCATGCATGCCTGCCTGCAGCTGAGCACCTCTTCTCTAGAGTAGAAACAGATAATAACAGATAAGAAGCCTCCTTAAAGCATGCGCACCTGCCTCTCCTCTTGAATGGAAACAGTTTAAATTCCTAAAATGACGGGATGGTGAGCCTGAGAACCCCCCCCCCCCCATAATGGGCCAATAGAAAATGGATCTTTCAGCACCCACAGCAAAAACAGATATCTGCCTTCCAAATTCAGTAGGCTCCCAAAAATTTATCTGTGCCCCCACCGAAAGCCAGGACACAAAAATGTATCCAGGTTTACCCAGATTGCACAAGTCTAATTCTGACGCTAGTAAAATCAATGGCATTTAGCCTGAAGAAGAGAAGGCTGAGAGGAGATATGATAGCCATGTATAAATATGTGAGAGGAAGCCACAGGGAGGAGGGAGCAAGCTTGTTTTCTGCTTCCCTGGAGACTAGGACATGGAACAATGGCTTCAAACTACAAGAAAGGAGATTCCATCTGAACATGAGGAAGAACTCCCTGATTGTGAGAGCCGTTCAGCAGTGGAACTCTCTACCCCGGAGTGTGGTGGAGGCTCCTTCTTTGGAAGCTTTAAACAGAGGCTGGATGGCCATCTGTTAGGGGTGATTTGAATGCAATATTCCTGCTTCTTGGCAGGAGGTTGGACTGGATGGCCCATGAGGTCTCTTCCGACTCTTTGATTCTATGATTCTATGATTTCAATGGCAATTGTCTTTTCATTTATTTTGGATGCTGAAGTGTGGTTTTTTATTGAATTAGTATGGATTCCTAATGTCTTCAAATTTACTGACTTCCCTCAGTATTAAGATGTACTACGGTACCTCGAGTCAGTACCAAATTTAAGCACAAGCCAAGAATATAGGGCCTCTTCAACTTGGCATTGCTCATTGCCTAAACATGAACTTATCCAGCCTTTGCGGTGAACACTCTCATGTGACCAAATTCCAATCGTTCCAGTACAGGCAGTTCCAAGTTACAAATACCTGACTCCTAGTTAAGAATGGAGATGAGGCAACAGGAAATGAGAAAAATCTCTCCATCAGAAGGACAACTCTCTCCTAGAAGAGTAATCATTGGAGAAACGTATCTCAACTGTAGCTGTATAATGGAATGACAGTAAACAAAGTGGCAGGAGGAGTGGCCAGGTTCTTCGGGTGGGACTCAGTAAATACTGGACTTAATCCAGCTACGTTAAAAGGGAAATTTGTTCCATCTAGGAGGCAAAGTAGAAGCACTGAGAAAGGCTTGCAATTTGCAAAGGGTAGAATCATGAGCACTGCAGGGAAAGTAAGTAGATAATTTATTTTAATATAAATCACATTGTGTGTCTTCTGGTCATATCTCTTAGGCAGGTCCCAGATGGCTGGATGAAGAAAAACAAACTGAAACTGAATCCAGACAAAACAAAGGTGCTTGCCATCAAGGGTTTCAATCTGGGAATGGAGGTGTGTCGAACGGTTCTGGATGGGGTTACTCTCCCCCAAAAGACTGTGTTCACAGCTTGGGGGTGCTCCTGGATCCGTCCCTCCAAATGTCAGCCCAGGTAGATGCAATGGTGACCACCCCAACCCCCCTCCCAGTTCTGGAATTCTCTCCCCAGGGAGATTAGATTAGTCCCCACCCTGTCCGTCTTCCGGAAAGACTTGAAGACTTGGATGTTCCAATGTGCCTTTGAATATTGGTTTAGCTACTGATTAAGTCTGCCTAGCCCTAATCTTCTGGTTGGATCTCCAGCACTTCATTACCTACAGGATCGCCTTCTCCTGCACAATCCGCCCTGCACACTGAGGTCTTTGGGGGGGGGGGGCAGCTACTCCATCCAACCAGACCCCAGCTGGTCTTTTCATTGGCCACTTAAAGACTGTGGAACAACCTGTCAGAAGAGCTCTGACAACTAAATGAGCTGTTGGAATGTTAAAACCAAAATGATAGTAGAAAATGAAGAAATCCTAAGCTAAACCTTTTCAGATTTCAGGTGTAAGGAGTACACTATGAGCAGCTTCTTTGGGCTGCAAGTGTAAGCAGTCTAACTCAGAACTTGGAAAAGTTAGTCTTGGGAGCTAAATTCCCACACTACCCCAGTTAGCATGATCAATGGCTGAGCTGGCAGGGAGACTAGTAAAGTCATATAACTTTTTTAAAAAGCAATTTGTCCTGGCCCTACAAACAGGCACCATTGACCATTACAAGAATAAACTGTAAACGGCTATTAAAATGTGTAAAGGAATAAATAAAAATGTCTCTTTTATGTTATAAATATAAACTGTCCTATTTCCTATTTTTTTGCAGGTCATTAAATGTAAAGCAGCCGTACTCTTTGAAGTTAATCAACCGCTTAGCATTGTGGAAATAGAAGTGGCCCCTCCAAAAGCACATGAAGTTCGCATTAAGGTAAAATAAACAATCTTAAAAATGGATTGGTTGAGATTATTAGGATTTACACACATTCATTCAAAGCAGGTAGGCTCAATCATTAGCTGGAGGTAGCTGTCTCTGTTGGGAGCATCTACTTCAAGTTGGGAAGACTGAGAAATTTTTCTCTTCCATTTCTCCCAAGCATCCTAAATTAAACTAGTGCAGGGTGCTGTTCTACTATAAGTAGGCTGAATGGTTAATCCAGGGGGGATAGAATATATGCAAAAATATGGAGGGGTTGCATCATGTTCTTTACCTCCTGATTCCTGAAGCGGGCAGTCTGCTACTAGATCAGAACTCTGATGGACCAGAGCTCAAGATGCCTCCACTATGTCCTTCTAGCTAGGCACACACAAGGACAAAAGCATCCTCCATAATCTTTCAATGGTCTTCTCTTATGCCCCACCTACACTGCCAGATTATGTGCTTTGAACCAGATTACATGACAGTCTGGAAGGGATCTAAATCTCAGAAAATGACCTCATTGTTGTTACTCCATGTACAGGAAAGTAGACAGATACTCCTTCCCCATCACCTCACTTTCCCACAGCCGCTCCATGGCAATGTTGGGCAGGAGGAATGTGAATACTGTGGGGAAATGAATGTAATTCCACCTGGGTTTAATTTAATGCCCATCTCCTGAAGTAAATCTGAAGGTCAATGGGGAGCATGAAAAGACCAAGCTGTGTTTGGAATAGTTCTGTTTTTGGATAAGAGGTCTCAGAATTTCCCAGACAGCATGGGCAGTGACCATGTTGGCAAGGGGATTTTGGAGGTTTTAGTCCAAAACAGTAACTTTTCAAACTGATGCCTCCTGTAGAATTCTGGGCTTTGTAGTTTAGGGAGAAGCCATTAACAGCCTCACAAAACTACAAACCTCAGAAGTCTTCAGGAAGCATTAACCAGATTTAAAGTGGATACATTCTCTAGTGTGATGAAGTGGAAAAGTTACTGTTTCAGACTAAAACCTCCAGAATCCCCTAGCCAACATGGTCACTGCCCATGCTGTCTGGGCAATTCTGGGAGCTGTTATCCAAAAACCAGAGGCTGCCCTAGGTAATTTTCATTGGTAATCAAACAGTATTTTACCCACCCCCCCAAACCAATCACTGAAATATATTTTCTGTTCGCCGTGGGAGTTCTGTGTGCCATATTTGGTTCAATTCCATCTTTGGTGGAGTTCAGAATGCTCTTTGATTGTAGGTGAACTATACATCCCAGTAACTACAACTCGCATATGTCAAGGTCTATTTTCCCCCAAGAGTGCCTCAAGAGCGCCCCTGGGCAAAATCAACTATACTGCAAATGCTTACTTTGCGTAATGGGTTGAGCCACCCCTGCCAAAAACAGAACTATTACAAACACAGCCTTGTGTTTTCATGCTATGTGTTATGGACAGCCATGGGAGCAACAAAGTCAGCTTCAGTTTGGTAAAAGTTGTTATTCCAAAACTTTATTTCTTTGTAATTGTTCTGCCAGATATCTTACCCTCTTCTTTGTAAATCAATATCAAAACTGATATTGATAGGCAAAACAAGAAAAATCCTTAAATAGCTGCATGGAATTTCCAAGTGGGAAGAAATTGTCTATAGCAATATTTTATCTTTCTTACAGATCTTGGCTTCTGGAATCTGTGGCTCGGATGACCATGTACTGAATGGTATACTAAAAGTGAACCTCCCAGTTATTCCTGGTCATGAAGCACTTGGTGTTGTGGAGAGCACTGGGGAAGGAGTTACTTACGTGAAATCAGGTATGGCAAAGCACACGGAGAGCAATGAAACAACACCCATGCATAAACATAATGACAAAGACTAATTCTGCCAACTAAACCAGAGTAATGATGGCTAATAATATTGTTTATTGTTCAAATGTGATTTTGATGTTTCAGTGAGCAATGCTGAAAAGGAAGCATATACAACCCAGATAGCTTTTTTTGTTGAAGGATAGTAATAATTCTACTATCACCCACCCTACTCAGGCACCCAAACACAGAGCAAATAAGGTTTCATTTGCTGGATATTAATGACTGGATAGTCAGGTTGGATATTCATGTCTGGCAGGCATGTAGCCGGGGGGGGGGGGCCTTGGGGGCTTCAGCCCCACCCCCGAAATTCTCATGGTGGTCTGCGAAAAGGCCTTACTGGTACATTATTTAAACTGTTATGTTTATTCATATCATGATCTGATCACCATATGCATGGGGGTATTGGGGTAACGATACAAAAGGTTTGCTAGGGTAGACCCTCTTTCACTCAGACTCAGCTCCCCCCCCCCAAATCAAACTCAGCCCCCCACCCGCCCCCGAATCAAAATCCTGGCTACGGGCCTGATGTCTGGAAAGTCAAATTCTATGTAACTATTTATAAAAACTTTTCATAGTTATTAGATCTTCCTCACCTTCCCTCTTTCCCTCCCACTCTCTCAAACACTTTGTCTTCTCTTTTCTCTCCTCTTTTCCCTCTCTTCCTCCTTCTCTCGGGCGCTCATGCCACCCACCCCTGGCAAGATGGACACGTTTGCCTGTGTGGACCTCCTCCTCCTCCTCACCTTCCCTCCCTCCCTTCTTGCCTTCCTTCCTCCTCCGTTTTCCCTCCTGAGGCTGTGGGAGAAAGAAGAAGAGGAGGAGGAAGAAGATGGGGCTAGGGAGGAACTGGAGGGAGCTGCTGGAGCCACTGCCTCTTCAGCCAAATCTACTCCAGTGGCAGCTCCTGCAGAAGCAGTACAAGCTGAGTAAGAGGGAGAAGAAGCAGGAAAGCAGAGAAGAAAGACATTTCTGCAGGAGCTGTTGCAGGAGCTGCTGCTGGAGTAGACTTGGCTGAAGGGGCAGCGGCTCCTGCAGAAGCAGTACAAGCTGAGTGAGAGGGAGAAGAGGAGAGAAAGCAGAGAGGAAAAATGAAGGCAAAGTGTGTGAGGGGGGGAAGGAGTGTCCCTACATCGTGGTAGTTCACTTATCGTGGGAGGTCCTGGAATGTAACCCCCACAATAAGTGAGGGACTGTATACCCTATCTTTCTCCATCTGGCACAACATTTAAACATAGAGTCTACTGAATGGTGGGAGATTTGATAAAATACCCATGTACTTCTTCTCCCAGTGCACAAAGTTAAATTATGGAATGTTCTGTTGCAAGATGATGGCCACCAACCTCTGTCTGTTGCTAAAGGATTTTTTATTTAAAAAAACAGAACATACAAGAGCAATTTTAAATATGAAAATTTGCACAAAGTTAAATTATGGAATGTTCTGTTGCAAGATGATGGCCACCAACCTCTGTCTGTTGCTAAAGGGTTATTTTTTTAAAAAAACGTAACATACAGGAGCAATTTTAAATATAAAAACAGAAATATTTTAAGTCTATCTAGAAGTTAATTTATTTTTATTCTGGATACACTGTTGCAAATAAAATATTTCCACACGGTGAGGGGGAAATTGCACATTTGGTTATATATTTTGAAATTGAAGATATATTTTCCCAGGCTCAGCCAGGCCTTCAAATGCTAATGAAGGTGGTCAGTTGAAACATTCACACCTAGCTCCAGCAGAGAAGAGCTCTTTGTCCCACCCTGGTCATTCCACAGATATATAAACCCATTGTCCTAATTCCAACAGACCTCACTACCTCTGAGGATGCTTGCCATAGATGCAGGCGAAACATCAGGAGAAATGCCTCTAGAACATGGCCATATAGCCCGAAAAAACCCACAAGAACCTAGTGATTCCAGCCATGAAAGCCTTCGACAATACATTGAAGATATATATTTTTTCTGGAGGGAATGTAGAGCATTGTATCTTTAGAAAGAGCACATGTCCATCCAGATCTCCAGAGACAAGATTGCACAAAGTCACATAGGCTGGATAAATGTCCTTAGCAATTATGATATTGATACATGCATCGGCCAAACTGTTCATCCAGCTTCCTTCATCCTTCCTCTTCTCCCTGTTGGCAAGAGCAGTCCTTATACATTGGGATTACTTTTCTAGAGAGTGCCAACTTATAAAGTTAAATTTTCTTTCGCAAATAATCTTGCTTTTTTTGTGCAATAATTTGGACATATCAATAATGGCGGACCAACGTAGTCTAAAATATACAATATTTTTTATAATTCCTAGGAGACAAAGTCATCCCACTCTTTCTCCCACAATGTGGGAAATGCCGAGCTTGCAAGAACCCTGAATGCAACTTGTGTGAAAAGTCTGAGTGAGTTTTCGTTATCATTTTCAACAGTATTAGAAAATACTAGTTGATTATTAAGGCTGCAGTTTTTCTTGTTTTTGTTTAAAATCACACACACAACTTTCATTTTCCATGTTTTAAAGCACTTTCAAAGGTACTGGGTTAATGTATGATGGCACCAGCCGATTCTCTTACAAAGGGAAACCAGTTCACCATTTTGCTAACACCAGCACCTTTACCGAATACACCGTGGTGCAGGAAGATGCGGTGGCCAAAGTTGATCCTGCAGCTCCTCCTGAGAAAGCCTGTCTGATAGGCTGTGGATTTTCTACCGGCTATGGCGCTGCCACCAAAACTGCAAAGGTAGGCATTCAGGACATAGGTGCCTACCTGCAGAAGGAGGGATTTTTGCACACTGAATTTTGTCCCTGTAGTCTATCTGTTGTGGAGGTGTATAGCCAAATATTTCTACATGATTATATTTCATTGAAGTTCAGTAATTAGGAGTTTAAGCTAAATCTGATAAATCAGACTCAAATAGAGTAGACTTCTTGTGAATTCTTGTGTGGTGTACGGTGGTACAGGTAAACACAAAGTACTTTGGACAAATGGCAAGATTCAGGATTTAATATCAGAATTCGCATACTTGCCTATTCTACAAAAGTGTTTGTGTAGACTAGGCAAGTATATTATGAACTGCGTGCCATGCTTGTTTGTTCATTAGATGAATCTAAGTTAATAGACTTATTCTACATTTTTTTTCTCTATCACCTTAGTTCTCTTAGTAAGGTGTCACAAAATCATTTTGCATTCTGATATTCCAAACTAACTTTGTTACGCAAAAATGGAATGCTGTAAACTGACTGATGCCAATATAGTGGGATACAGAAAGGTCTTACATTTGGCTACTTTGACATGCTGCAACTCTATTGTATTTAAATGATCTCTTTCTTCACCCACTTTTTCAATCCCCCTCTAGCTTTTGTGATGAAACAGAAATGATTGAACACATATAGTCAGTCCCTGGGTTATGAACATGATAGGTTCTGTAGGTTCGTTCTTATGTAGAATTGGTATGCAAGTTGGAACAGGTACATCTATCTGTAAGTCGGAAAAGGCCTGGCAAGTACTGCTGGCTGGTGCATGAGGAGAACACACACGCCCAGGGTAAAATAAGTAGCGGCAAAAATTGCAGTCTTTGTAATTTGGCTAAAAAGGTGCACATGTTGCACTATAGCATTGAAACATCTTTTCACCCAGCACCACACCAGAGTCCAATAATTCTATCTAAAATGTTTATTAATGAAAACAGATAAAAAGGGAAAAAAGAGCAAGTCCAAAAAGGTCAGTAGAATAGAAAGTACAAAATAGCAGTAATCCAAAAATGCCAAAGTACATAAAGTCAAGACAACCAAAATCCACAGCAGTTCTTCATACATAAATCCATAAACATGAAAACAGGAACTTTTCCAAGGTAAACCCTTTCAGGAAACAAAGGCATGAACCAGAATAGGAAACTTGAGAATACTTGAATCAAAAACTTGAGAGCAGAGACAGGAGAGACAACTCTTATGGCAACATTGCCTCTTCTGAGAGGCTTGAAGCCACACCACTTAATTTAAGCCCATCCAGGCACCCATGAAATCATGCCGAAGACACCTGGCCTTCATGGTCTTATCTCGGATTCTCCGAGAATAACTTATTTGTTTATTTGTGTTCTCAGGCCTAATCTAGTTTCCCCGAGAACACTCTCCATTGGCCTAAGGCCTTTTCTCAAGGGAACTGGAACTTTCACTTTCCTCTGTTGCCTGGGAACAAGCACAGAAATCTACAACATTGGTCTCATCTGCCTGCAACTCTCTCTGATCACTCACAGACTCCTCATTCTCTGACTCATTATCAGAAAAATCCTCTACGGCTTGCTGAGCTAAAACAGCATATTACATTTGCTGCATGCTTAGAATTCTTTTTTAAAAAAACAAAAGTGTTAAGATACCAAAGTCTCCAGCAATGGAAAGGAAAACCAGATAAATAACCCTTCCTTCAATAAGTCTCTCCTGTATATCCCACCTCAGCTTCCTTGTGGTGCATCTATGCTGTAGAATAAATACAGCTTGACACCACTGACTACCCTGACTCAATGCTATAGAATCCTAGGGGCTGGCACTTTACAATGTCTTTAGCCTTCTAAAGAATGCTGCTACCTCACCAAACTACAAATCCCAGGATTGCATACTGTTGAGCCAGGGAGAGAGATACAGACAGAACGGAAAGGAGAGGCATGATGGGGAGCTACAGATACAAAGGAAAGAGGGGAGAGGCACAGACCCAAAGGGGTGGGAAGAGAAAGATAGACACAAAGGAAAGAGAGGGAGGAGAGGTACAGACAGGATGGAAAGGAAAGATGGAGGAGACATACAGACACAAAGGAAAGGTAAGTGGAGAGATACAGGTGCAAAGGATCATTTTTTATTATGTTGATGTTCATGCAGGTGACTCCTGGTTCTTCTTGTGCTGTTTTTGGTCTGGGAGGAGTCGGCCTCCCAGTAGTCATGGGCTGTAAAGCAGCTGGAGCATCACGAATCATTGGGATTAACAGAAGCAAGGAAAAATTTCCCATAGCTAAAAAGCTGGGTGCCACCGAGTGTATAAGCCCTCTGGATTTCAAGAAGCCCGTCAATGAAGTTCTGCTTGACATGACTGGTGGGGAAGGTGTGGACTATTCATTTGAAGTGGTTGGAAGCACAGAGACCATGGTATGTGTATGACATACATTGTATGATAGACCTAGAATGGGAAGGACTGGAGCTTATGCATTATGTCTCTAATTTTTATAGTGATTCTGCTCCAATAAACTGTATTTGGTTACAAAGCCCCATACAGCATGGGACTCATTTTATTCTCATTATTCCTTCCAATTTTTGTGGTGTAACACATTCCTATTACTTGATATAATGTTGAGAGAGAACTTTATTGTCTTAACGTCTTACATTGCTCCATATACTGATACAGGAATCCCTAAGTGAAGAGTTTTCATAGCAGGGCATATTGTAGGTATTTTCTTTCTCTTGATCTGAATGTGAGATTTTGGATTTGCCTTAGATTGCTGCATTGGCTTCCTGCAACTTGAACTATGGCACCAGTGTGATAGTGGGTCTACCACCTTCAGCAGCAGAGATGACTTTGTCTCCAACGCTTATTTTTACAGGACGCACTTGGAAAGGCTCTCTATTCGGAGGTATGGCTTATACAATAATTAGTACCTGGCTGCTAAAATAATTTATTGTGTATTATGATCATGAGAAACTCAGTATGTGCTATTGCAATGGGATTTGTTGGGCAAGATGAGTGAGAAGATGAGGAGCTTTCCAAGTTTTATGTCTAAACAAAAAGTATAACTCCAGAAGCTGCTGAGACACCCAACAGCCATAGACAGCAGCGCCAATAACAAGTCAATGTGTGCCCTGTCTTGACTGAGCGCAATCTTATTTATAGGCATGAGAGGCAAAGAAGATGTTCCTAAGCTGGTTTCAGAACTGATGGCAAAAAAGTTCAATCTGGATCCATTAATTACACATGTTCTGCCTTTTGATAAAATCAATGAAGGATTTGAATTGCTACGCAATAAGAAATGGTAAATATTTCCTCTTTTTCAATAGTCATCATTCCCATGGTTGTTTTATTTATCGTGTCAGGAGCAACCAGACAGTTGTATTACATTTTTAACAAAACAAACAGACAGACAAAACACAAAGTTTGCAGGCTTGGTAGTTAAATGTCCTTTGACCAGTATCTGGCCACTTGGAGTGCCTCTGGTGTTGCCGCAAGGAGGTCCTCCATTGTGCATGTAGCAGGGCTCGGGTTGCATTGCAGCAGGTGGTCTGTGGTTTGCTCTTCTCCACACTCGCATGTCATGGATTCTACTTTGTAGCCCCATTTCTTAAGATTGGCTCTGCACCTTGTGGTTCCTATGGTGGAATCTGGCGATTTGAATGTGGGTAAAGCAAAGAATGTACTTTAGATTTTAGTCTAAACTTTAAAGGTGTTTTGCAGGATATTGGACCTGTTTGAAGGGATAGAGTTCATCATCCTGGATGGCTCATTTCAAGTTCTATACACAAAGTATTGTTATTGTTGTTAAAACTTCAAATATGATGTCACATGAAAGGTTTATTACTTAGAAACACAATATAGAGGAACAACTTCTCTTAGTCATGGATAAATGTCCATATTCATTTAGATAAACATAATAGTCCAATCTGTCTGATGATTTAAAGAATCACTTGTAGATGTTGTCGAAGGGCAGGTTACAACAAGGTTACAACAAGGTAGGGGTGCTATAGCATATCTATTTTATGTATGTTGTTGTTCTTTTCATACTTGTAATTGTAGTATCAGAGACTTGTTTCCTGTTGAAATATTAAGAAGAATTCATTACCTGAAGAAGATGTTTTCATCACCAACACCAAAACAAGAAACACCCAGGATACCTTGTTGTAACCTGGTAGAACTCTTCTCTGACACAACCTTGGATGCCACAAACAGTCCTTTGAAAACATCTACAAGTGACTCTTTAAATCATCAGACAGATTGGACTATTATGTTTATCTAAATGAATAGGAACATGTATCCATGACTAAGAGAAGTTGTTCCTCTATATTGTGTTTATAAGTAATAAACCTGTCATATGACATCATATTTGAAGTTTCAACAACAATAACATAATACTTTGTATATCTCAGTAATAGATATGTGTTCTATTCATTTCAAGTTTGGGCTACAATCCAGGAAAGGTTCTTCACCATGTTTGTCTTTACCCAGTTGAAAATGATTTCAACCTTCTGAAATTTTCTGTGGAAATCTAGAGCTACAATTGTTGGGTGGGATCAGCCCTAACCAACTTAGATACCCAAAGGACTTCATCAAGCCCCCGGTGGCGCGGTGGCTTAAACTCCTGTGCCGGCAGGACTGAGGACCGACAGGTCGCAGGTTCGAATCCAGGGAGAGGCGAATGACTCCAGCTCCTCATGCGGGGACATGAGAGAAGCCTCCCACAAGGATGATAAAAACCTCAAATCATCCGGGCATCCCCTGGCCAACGTCCTTGCAGACGGCCAATTCTCTCACACCAGAAGCAACTTGCAGTTTCTCAAGTCGCTCCTGACACGACAAAAAAAAAATCAAGCCTACTGAAGTTATGATAAATCTAAACCTAAGCAAGTTCAGAGATACTGGAAATGATTTTGGGATTATTCTCAGTCTAACTCAAATATTTAAGATGTTATATTAAGCCATCTCATTTAACTTTCCATCTTGTTTCAGTATCCGTACTGTTCTGAAAATGTAAAGACCCTGGTGGAGAAAATACAAAATGGTTGGATTCCAACAGAACCATCAACTGTGCATCACATTATGGAACATCTGTGGAGAGAATTGCATAGTGTTGTATTACAAGTAGCAATACTGCTGCCATCTATAAACCAATCCTATTTTTCCCAGCATGAAATATCAAATAGCCTTGCCTTCTGATTCCTCTTTTCAATGCCTGAGAAACTTGTGTTTAATGAAGCCATAGCAAAATAATAATCATGGGGATATGGGATGTTATTCTGCAGGTATATGCTTTTATCAGAATTGGTCTCATTGAATTAACTGCAGCATAGACTTTTGAGAGCAGAGGCATTACTAATCACTATCTTGAAATCGTTGTATAATTCTCAGTAATTCATCACCAACAGACAGTGACTAAATTCTCGTAATTTGGACAGACTCCTTTCTGTATGTTTACATGAAATGCTGGATGTAAGATGTAAATTGATATGATCTAAAACTTAATAAAAGATCAAGAACAACTTTGGTGAGGACTATGTGAAATAGACAGCTTGTGGAAAAAATGTACTAGAATTCCCAGAATCCCCCATCGAGCATAGCCAACAACCATGGCAGTCTAAAAAGTGTTTTGATGATAAGGATATAAGTAAAGATAACTTTTTTAATGTATTGTCTTGTATACTGAATAAGACATATTTAGTTATTATTTTCTGAAATCAGTTTAAGTATCCTTCGAACAGATTTCATCCATACTCAACTCTGGCCCCTTCCACACTGCTGTATAAAATCCACATTGAACTGGGTTATGTGGCAGTGTGGACTCAGATATCCCAGTTCAAAGCAGATATTGTGGGATTTTCTACCTGCATATTTTGGATTATATGGCTGTGTGGAAGGGCCTTCTGATGGTTTAAGATTCCCATTCAAGAGACAGAAACCATATACCGTATGAGTTTCCAGCTTGGCAGAGACAATCCCAATTAAGTTAAATATCCAGGTTTCTCTCCCCTTGCCCCTCTTTCCTTTTGTGTCTTCCTCTCACTTGAGTTGCTGTAAACCAAATTCAAAGTGCAAAATTCAATTAACTCAGCAGAGAGGAAGGAACAGAATCGTGCCCTTTTCAGTAATTCAAGGCAAAAGCAAATTGCTGCAACCTCTCCTTGCTTGTATGTTCTTCCTTGTGCAAATCTTGACCACAAGGATCCAACTATAGTTCAGCCCCCTTCTACACTGCCATATAATACAGATTATCAAAGAAGATAATCCACGTTATGTGCTTTGAACTGGATTATGTGAGTCTACCAGTTCTCAGTTCTCAACTGGACACTGAAAACTAGGAAGCCCTGGCCCTTGAGCGCTCCAGCTGGAGGTCAGCTGTGACCAGCTGTGCTGCAGAATTTGAAGAGGCATGGATGGAGAGTGAAAGAGAGAAATGTGCCAAGAGGAAAGCACATCAAGCCAACTCCGACCGAGACTGCCTTCCGTCTGGAAACCAATGCCCTCACTGCGGAAGAAGATGCAGATCAAGAATAGGGCTCCACAGTCACCTACGGACCCACCGCCAGGACACTGAACTTGGAGGACCATCATCCTTGGACTACGAGGGATCGCCTAAGTAAAATGAGTCTACACTGCCAGATAATCCAGTTCAAAGCAGATAATCTGGATTTTATATGGCAATATAGAAGGGTCCCTAGGGCTTTCCCACACAGCCAAATAACTCAGACTATCAAGGCAGATAATCCACAATATCTGCTTTGAACTGGATTATCTGAGTCCAAATTGCCATATAATCCAGTTTAATGTGGATTTTATACAACTATGTGGAAGGCACCTGAGACAGGCAACTGTAGACATTGTCTCTTGAAGTAAGCTAAGGCCTCATCTACACTGCCATATAATATCCAAATTATCTACTTTGAACTGGATTATTTGGCAGTGTAGAGTCATATATTCCAGTTCAAATCTGATAATGTGAATAATCCTTTTATAATCTGGATTATGTGGCAGTTAGAGCCAGACTGAATTTAGATAAGTCTTAACCTCTTGCTTCTTAGCTGGATGTGGATTTTCTCTTGATTCAAAGGTGAGGGTGCGATAAGGAGAGTCTGATAACATTGGCAAGCTATTAAAGTGTGTATAGGGCATAACAAACAGACAGATTTGTTGTTACTGAATAATGCTGATGTTTGTATTGTTTTATTATGTGAAGATGACTATGCAATACTGATTCAATACAGGAATAATACACACATTAGTCATATGTAGCAGTTGCTACAAATATCCATTCTCTCAACAGCCCTAGAGCAAAACCACAGCAAAACGTTATGAAATAGCAAGAGTAAACACAAAAGAAAGAACGCACAAGAGAAAGCATGTAGTGAAACCTATTTGCATTGTCTCAATAGTTATGAAGTCGAACTAGACTTTAGGGGGGTCAACTCCAAGGAGAGATCACCCTTAGTTCCCACCAAAGAGGGAACGCTACCTTGGCAAGCCTTCAGAGAAGCCTGATTCCAGCAATTTTATTTAATATTAATAATTGAAATGAGACTCTTGCCAAAGCGAAGAAGGGGCATCGAGGTTTAATGAGCGATTCAGCTGAGATCGGATGCACTGTAGGGATATTTCCACTACAAGCATACCAGCACAGAGTTTACAGGCATTTTTATAGGCAAAATTCAGAATGGGAGGTGATGGGATTAAGAAAGGTTTTTCTGTCCCAGATCTGATAAGGAGTGTCCTTGATGAGCCTTGTGGAGGAAACAAACAGAGCCGGGGCGAGGGGACCCCCTGGGGTTAGCCTCGTCCCTTTGTAAAGCAATCATGATGTCCAAAGAAACTTCCTTGTCTGCCAGACGAGAGCAAACAAAAGGATATTTCACTTGTTATTGTCCATGCAGATGTTGAATAATCAAGCAAGTTTCGAGAGAGGTGGTGGTCCTCCCTCAGGCAGTGAGCAATCTCTGGTCGCAATTTTCTAGGGCAAAGGGAAAGGCAAAGGGGCAGGCAATATTTCATAGCAAGATACATACATTCAAATCATAAGCATTTCATAGCAACAAAACCCCATCTTTGTCCCACATCCCAAGTATATTTAATAAGAGGATTAATTTTCATGTAGAAGTCTGAAGTCCAATGTTTTAAAAGGTCTTTGAGAAAAGTTCATGAGGGAGATAGTATGTACTGAAGTCCAAGACATGCAGTCAGAGAGTCCATGATCATTGGGAAGGCTGGCAGATGAAACCCCAGCTGTTCTGCAACTGATTCATACTTTGGACCTTGGGAAACTACAACTCTCACGAAGGGCAGAAGTTCCAAGATCCAGCCGTTCCTTGTTGTTGTCAATGCCTTAGCAATGTGACCAAGACTTAACCCCTATTGTGCAGTCTGGTACCTTTGTCCTTTGCAGAACTATAAGTCACCTTCCCTTGTTAGGAGGGGGGGCGCATGCTCGACGTCAGTTAGAGCTTCCTTTCCAGCTACAGAATTTCCCCATGTAGCCTTCTACTATACCAACTCTACTACAGTGGGAAGAAAATTGCAGAAATTATTCATTCTCACTCGTGAGAGTAAAATAATCAGAAAAATACATCCCTAGCTGATGAAGAAATAAGTAGATGCCACAGCAGGGAAACCAATATACAGGCAAGAGTTTAATACAATGCAAAGGAATGGAGAAAGCTCCAAGAACCAGGGATATTTTTTTAATCTGATGTGCTTAAATCTTTAGGCAATTATGATTTCTTTGTCTGTCTTTGGAGTCTTACTTACTTACTTTGGAGGCACAAAGATGTCAGATGAAAAAAGCAGGAAGGAAAGAAGGCTTCAATGTGTTTGCTTAGTTGTTTATAGAGAAAGGAGGAAATAGCTATCTCAAAGAGGAACAAATGAGAGGAGGAATAGCTAAATTTGCATTGGAAATACACTGAGCAAGCATGGAAGGAACTTCACCGCAAAAAGCATGCACTCCAGATGTTGGAATGCAAGTCCCATAACCCTTGGCCAGTGGCCAGCACAGTCAAAAACCTTGGGAATGTGCTCCAACGTTTGGAGGGTCACACGTTTCTCTTCTTGCATTGGACAGAGAAACTGTATTTATACAACACAACTGAATCACTTTGGACAGAGCAATGGAATTACTTTCATGTTTCCATGGGCCTTTGTATTTGGCTTCCTGTGACTGCATAACATATGAACAGAAATGAATTTTTGTGCAAGTTGTTCTAAAGCTGTTGTATTTTCAAAACATAAACTTCTATGCATAGGAACAGGTTGGTTTTTGTGTTAAAGAAAAAAATAAAGCAATAGAAAAAAGCATAAAGACAAAACAGAACTACTTTTTTTCTGCAACTCTTTGGGCATTTCTTTGTTACTACTGTAAATTGCTCTTTTGTTAGGACTTCTTTTAGTTCTTTGGTTACTTCAGCTGACCACAACTGCTCTAAACACCAACTAGTATCAAGAAAGAATGGAGTGGTATTACCAAATCTGGTATGGAGTGGTATTACCAAATCTTGAGTGACCGTAGATAAAGGTTCTTGAAGGATCTATTGCTTAACAGGTTATATTTTCTAGGAGGGTGAAATTAGTAATTAGTAATGATATATGTGTGAAAGACCCATTGAAATCCATAGAGTTTTGTAACAACAATAATAATACCGACAACAACTCCCCGAAAATTACTGCAACGCTCTCTACATGGGGTTGCCTCTGAAGACTGCCTGGAAGCTTCAATTAGTCCAACGTGCGGCAGCCAGTTTACTAACGGGAGCGGGGTACAAGGAGCATACTACTCCTCTGTTGCGCCAGCTCCACTGGCTGCCAGTCAGCTTCCGAACACAATTCAAAGTGATGGTCTTAACCTATAAAGCCCTAAACGACTCCGGCCCAATTTACCTGTCCGAACGTATCCTCCCCTATGAGCCATCAAGATTACTAAGATCGTCTGGAGGGGCCCTGCTCTCGATCCCACCGGCCTCACAGGTGCAGTTGGTGGGGACGAGAGACAGGGCCTTCTCGGTGGTGGCCCCTCGACTCTGGAACTCCCTTCCACTGGAGATCAGAACTGCCCCTTCGATCTTAATGTTCAGGAAACAGGTGAAAACCTGGCTTTGGGGATTGGCATTCAATGAATGAGCCATGATCCTGTGATATGGATGGATGACGACGAATAATGACTTTGATGACGACTGACCACTGTCATTAAAACATTCAATGTTTTAATGTTTTAGTATAATTTAGAAATATGATGTTTTAATGACGGTCTGTAATATTGATGTTGGAAACCGGCCCAAGTCTCTCGAATGGAGGTGAGAAGACCAGTATACAAAACTACCAAATAAATAAATAAATAAATAAATGTGGGGCAAAATCTTAAGTATGGCTTGACTTTCTATATTCTCTTCAAAGCTAGTAGAACATTTTACCTTTCAAATTAAATGTTTATTTGTTTCCTTTTGACAGCATGGAAACCTTTTGCCAAAATATTTTCTAGGAGGGTGAACATTTTATTCTGGAAATCAGTAATGATATATGTGTGAAAGACCCATTGAAATCCATAGAGTTTTGTAACAATAATAATAATACCAACAACAACTCCCCGAAGCAACTCAGGGAGGCTTACATGGGGGGGGGGGCATGCCCATTCAACGTAGTCAAAATATAACACACAAAAATTTATAAACAACATCATAAAACAGTATAAGACAACCACAACATAACATAGTATAAAACAACCATCAATCAAACCACCAGCGGCCTGAATAGTAAACAGTTCCTGAGCTTGGGTGGTTGGGTTGGTGGAATTCAGTTGCAAGGACAGGGCTGATGGGGAAAATGCAGAGACAGATGACAAAATTTGGAATGGAGGGCAATATGAAGTAGAGCACTAAACCTCTGGTTAGAAAACAGTGTTTCTTAGGAAAGTGCAAGGACTAGATTTTGGGTCATGGCTGGGATTAAATTTATCTGGAGAAATGTTTAATTGAAAGCACAGTGGAACATCCACGTTTTTAGATCTTTATGGAAGGTGAACAGGAGGGGTGCTAGTCTAATCTCCCTGGGGAGAGAGTTCAAGAGCCGGGAGGCCACCACCAAGAATGCCCTCTCTCTCATCCCCACCAACCACACTTGTAATGGGGATGGGAGCAAGAGGAGAGCCTCCCCAGAAGATCTTAGAGATCGTGCAGGTTCGTAGGGGAAGATACAGTCACGAAGATAGGCAGGTCCCAAACCTGCCTATCTTCATAGGTAATAACTTGCGACTTGAATTGAGACTAAGGAAGCCCTGTTGATTTGAATCACTCTACTGCAATTATAATCTGGATCTATCCTATTAATCCTGATATGCAGAACAACTTTGACCATCATGTTTTAACTGTTTTCAGATATTCCAGTTTTTACTGTGATCTGATGTTTTGAAGACTCCAGCAGTGAGAAAATAATTTATCAGCTGGGAACTTCTCATGAAAAAGCCCTGTGCCCATTTCACAGCACTAAGAATTACTTATCATTTAAAGAACCATAATGTTTTATGGTTTGAAGAACAAAACTGGGATATTATTTTATTATTATTTTATTTTGGGTATTTCTACCTCGCCCTTCTCAACCCCGGGGGGCTCAGGGCGGCTTACAGAGGCACAATTCGATGCCGGCATCAACATAAACAATAAAATAAAGCATGAATAACAGTAATTAAACAATTAAAACATCAATTAAAACATCATATCAATAAAACCATTCTAACGCTCAGCGTTCGCCATCTCATAGTCCGTAAATTCAATTCTACATCATCAATTCCTATCAATTCTAGTTGTCAATTGTCCTTGTCTCACTGCCAGATTGCCCGAACGCCTGGCCCCACAACCATGTTTTCACTTTCCTTCTGAAGGAGAGGAGGGATGTTGATGACCTGATTTCCCCAGGGAGTGAATTCCACAGCTGAGGAGCCACCACCGAGAAGGCCCTGCTCCTCATCCCCACCAACCTCACTTGTGATAGGGATGGGGTCGAGAGCAGGGCCTCCCCAGATGATCTCAAACTCCGAGGTGGGACGTAGAGGGAGATGCGTTTGGACAGATATGCTGGACCGGAGCCGTATAGGGTTTTGTAGGTCAAAACCAGCACTTTGAATTGTGCTCAGAACTGGGTCGGCAGCCAGTGGAGCTGACATAACAGAGGGGTGGTATGCTCCCTGTATGACGCAGGCACAGGACCAGTCATATGTGGTCATATTTCCTGGGCTCCCCAATACAGAGGACATTACACTTCTGCTATCCTGAAGCTGGAAAAATAAATGTAATTACAATGACAATGGTCTTTTCATTTTGTTCAAATGCCAAAGTTTGAGTTTTTATTTAATGAGTGTGGAGTTTTAATGTCTTCAAATCTACTGGCATCCTCGGTGTTAAGATGCACTGCAGTCCCGCTGAGTCTCTGCCAGATTTCAATCAGTGCCAGATTTAAACACAAGCCAAGTAAATGGGGCCTCTTCAACTTGGCATTGCTCATTGCCTCAACATGAATTTAATCCATGCTTTGATTACTCCCACATAACTCAGTTCTAATCCTTGCATAGAATGGAACGAAAGAAAACAAAGTGGTAGGAAAGGAGTGGCCAGGTTCTCGGGGTGGAACTCCGTAAATATTGGACTTAGTTGTAAGACAAATCAAAACTTTACAACCATTTTAAAAGAAAATTTGATCCATTGAGGAGGCAAACTAGAAGCACTGAAAACTCACAGAAATACTAGCAATTTGCAAAATATAGAATCATGAGCACTGCTGGGAAAGTAAGTAGACATTTTCTTTTAAATTTTATTTTTCACCCCAGGTATCTGTGTGCAAATGAATATTGTAAAAACTAGCTTTTAAATATGCAAACAGAAATTGCTATATGGCACTTTCTTTGCCTGGAGAAGTTTGTTTCCATCTGAGCTTTGTCTCTTCTTTCCATGAGTTAATTTTCTGTGATTTGAGTTTCCTGGGAAAGGAAAGGCTCTGTTTCTCCTCTTTTCCTTCCACTGTTCTGAAACCTACTTCGCAATTTGAGCCCAGCTTGTAGCAATAGAGGTAAACTGAATGGGAAGTGGTATGCAGAGAGCAAATGTTTTAAAAGCAGGTGAAAAAAATGGAACAACAGATAATCCAGTTTAGGATTTGTTCCTGCCAAATCCTGTCATTTGAGGATGTGTAGTCTCCACCTATGAAAGAAAATGAGCTGAATCTTTTTAAATTGCAGGTGTGATGAGAGTGTTTTCAAGTAGTGAGCTATGAGCAGCTTCTTTGGACTGCAAGCCTAAACAGCCTTAATCAGAACTTGGAAAAGTTACTCTGGGGCCCCTTCTACCCAGCTGTATAAAATCCACATTGAACTGGATTATATGGCAGTGTGAATTCAGACAATCCAGCTCAAAGCAATACTATGGATTATCTACCTGGGTTATATGGCTATGTGGAGGGGCCCTGGGAGGTTTATAGCCCTTCAACACAGCCATATAACCCAGAATATCAAAGCAGATAATCCACTATATCTGCTTTGAATGGCGTTATCTGAGTCCACACTGCCATATAATCCAGTTCAAAGCAGATAATGTAGGATTTTATACAGCTATGTGGAAGGGGCCTTAGATTCCCATGCTATCCCAACTGGCATGATCAATGGCTTTGCTGGCAAGGAGAATATGGAAGTCATATAATACCAAAAAAAAGTAATGTGGTCTGGTCTAAAAGCAGGTCCCGCTGACCATTATGAGAGTAAGGCCCACTGTAAACTGCCATGAGGACCTGGAAAAGAAGAAATCAAGAATGTCTATTTCCAATTATATTTAATCTCCTATTATTCTTACAGGTCATCAGATGTAAAGCTGCCATAGTCTTCGAAGCTAAGAAACCCTTTAGCATCGTGGAAATAGAAGTGGCCCCACCAAAAGCACATGAAGTTCGCATTAAGGTAACAGAGACAAATGTAATACTGGATTAGTGCAGATTATTAATATTCACACACATTCATTCATTTTACTGTTCCTATCTCTATTCTGAAATATTTGAATGCCTCCACAAATGTTATATTGGAAATGTTGAACTCACATATGCTGGCATTTTTCTGCCCCACCCTTTTGCCTTTGGCTCCACGCTCCTCTGGAGAGCACCCCACCCTTGAAACAGAATGTGTCCCTTTGACTAAAAGACATCCCCCACCTTTTCTGTAATATCCTGTTAAACATGCAACAAGGCTTGAAGTCTTAATAGAAATCTCAGTATAATATAAGTCTTTTCTGACATGTTTGAGCTAGTTAGCACAATATCAAATTCAAGGCATCTATCTTCAGAGATGACATAGGTTTTCAATATGCAATGCAATCTTCATTTATAAATTCAAATTCACTGTCCAGACATATCTGTAAGATTGTTAAGCTAGTTCCAGGCATTTGGAGACCATGGGCAACTTCCCAATAATGTGTCTTCAGCCCGCAATTGACTTTGGGAATGATAATGGGAAATCTAAGCAGCTTCACGATGGCAGAAATGAGGAATGGAGTTGTGCCCATAGGACTGGTGACCAAAAGGTCAGAGGTTCAAATTCGGGTGGGGACATGAGAGGTGGGTTCAAATTCGGGTGGGTTCAAATTCGGGTGGGGACATGAAAGAAGCCTCTCACAGGATGGTAAAACATCCTGGTGTTCCCAGAACAGAAACACCTCTGTCCTTAAACCCCACACCAGTTCAGTAAAATCAGCAAGCAGTTTATTGAAGGATATATGTAAACAAAACAATAAAAATGACAAAACAGTATGGTCCAAAACAGTATTTTCCCAAAGGGTACAAATAGTCCATGAACTTCAAGGTAAAAATACAAGATCCAAAGATGCAAAATCTAAAAAAACAAGATAGCATGGCGAGCCAATACCCAGAACAGGAAACAAGAAACTAGAAATCCACTTGGAAATAAGACCTCCATGAAAATTCAACGTTGACGAGACTGAGCTAAATCCTTTCCCTGTTTCATCTAAATCTTTTCCTGCCTCATGAAATGAAAGGAAAACATTCTGTTTGCCTTTACAACCAAATCTCTCTTTTCTAGTAGATGGGCTGACCTTTGACGATCTTGAGAACGTTGTCTTAGTTTACAAAAGTCTTGTCTTCTATCTTCAATCTCATTACATTCTGCATCTGACAAATCATCCTCAGAAGACAGTTTCTCAGAGAAAGACTGATGTGGGCCTCTTTCAGGAATTGGATCTTGGCAATCTACAGGAGAAACACTCCATTCATGGAAAACCTCGGGCCTCTCTGCAAAGGCCTGAACTTGATTCAAGCCCAAGAAAACCCTGAACCCCATTGACATCAGACACAGGCTCAGGAAAACCATCATCCCCATTGACATCAGACACAATCACAGTCTGAACTACAACACTGGGATGTTTTAACAGCAGCTGAAAAAGTGGGATGATAGGGGATTAATAGGGACTGTCTCTACCAAATTGAGATACTTGAAGGGTATGGGGTTCACACTCTACTTTTATTAGTAAAAGGGAATGCTGAGACTGGCCTAGTTCTCTCCAGAAGACCACAAGCATGGCAGTGGCACAGAACATACTTTTAGGTCACCACAGGTAAACTTATCACCACCATATTAATTGCATAAGAATTGCAGGGGTAGGGATGCAATAGTTAACAAGTGAGTTCAAGCCAAGGCCCAATGCTGCTCCACTGCTAAACCACCACCCCAGCTCCAATTACTTCTTCAGAGTTACGCAGCAGAAGCAATAAGAGTTGACACAGTAACAGTAATATTGGGTCCTGCTGGTGTCTGAGCACTTGCTCAACTATGTCATAAACTAGTGGATCAGACTGTTAAAGTAAAATAGAAATGAGTTTGTAGGGGATGTAGTCCCTTATTTGAGGAGACATCCTTACTTCTCAGTTGGTCTACTGGACAGTCATCCCTCCACTTTTTCTGGGATTAGGTGCACAGAAATCCTGTGAAAGTTTAAAAAATGCAATTAAAGAAACTGATTTTTTTTCTACCTGAGTGAAAAGCCTGGGTTTTCCAACATGACTCTGTGGTCTACTTCCACCAATCATAGACTTGCAGTGAAGAATTTCCTAGAGTAATATATATTCTCTAGGAACTTCTAATCCTCCAGTGTGGCCAGAGGAAGATGACCACATGAGATTGCATGTGATTATATCTAACCCTTTATTTGTAGATCAATATCAAAACTGATACTGAAAGGCAACACAAGGATAAATAACTGCATGAAATTTCTAAATGGGAAGCAGCTGTCTGTAGCAATCTTTCATCTTTATTACAGATTTTGGCCACTGGAATCTGCCGCACAGATGACCACGTACAGGCTGGTGCACTCAAAGTGAACTACCCAGTTGTTGCTGGTCATGAAGCAGTTGGTGTTGTGGAGAGTGTTGGGGAAGGAGTTACCTCTGTGAAACCAGGTATGGCAAACCGCACAGAGAGCAATGCGACAATATTCACACACAAACTAGATGATTTTATTTCTTTGATGGAGAGGCATACAATTTAAAGGATTATGGGGGAAACTCTTGGGCCCTTTCACCACTGTACACACTATGACTATACCATTTGGCCTCATATTGCTGCATCCACTTGGAGCTTCTCTCATCCTTGGAGCATGGGGAAAATGCACCATATTTCTGCTTTTCTATGAACTATTTCTGTGCCATTTCCTTTCTGAAAACGAAAGCCACTCTTGAAACAATGTGGATTGAAAATGCACTTCTAGGTTGTCCCAACAAATAAAAAGTAGGTTTTCTGTAGCGAGAGATCTTGCTTTTTTGCAATAGTTTAGAGAGGTCTATTAGTTGTGAACCAATTGTATTAGTACTAAAATTATCACAATATTTTTTTCTGTAATTCTTAGGAGACAAAGTCATCCCACTCTGTCTCCCACAATGTGGGACATGCCGACCTTGCAGGAATCCTGAAGGAAACATGTGTGAAAAGAATGAGTGAGTTTTGACATCATTATCAGTGGTATTATAAAGTACTCGTGCTAGTTCTGCAACTTTTCTTGTTGAAAATCATGCACATACAACTTTCCTTTTCCATGTCTTAAAGTTTTCTTGCAGCCAAGGGAGTAATGTATGATGGTACCAGCCGATTCTCTTACAAAGGGAAACCAGTTCACAATTTTGTCAACACCAGCACCTTTACTGAATACACCGTGGTGCATGAAGATTCGGTAGCCAAAATTGATCCTGCAGCTCCTCCTGAGAAAGTCTTTCTGATAGGCTGTGGATTTTCTACTGGCTATGGCGCTGCCACCAAAACGGCAAAAGTAGGTATCAGAACATAGGTGGCTGATCTATAGCAGAAGGGGTTTTTGGCAAACTGAATTCTGTCCCTGTGATCCAACCAAATATTTCCATCTAAATGCATTACATTGAAGTTCAGTACGAAGAGTTTGGCCTAAATCTGATTGATCATCCTCAAATAAAATAGACTTATTGAGTTAATGTTGTATAATGTGTCACTGTACATGTAAACCCCATTGATTGGAATAATCTACTGTAGAACAAAATACAAGATTTGGGACTTATTATCAAAGTCTGCAGGGGATGTTTTTGTAGTATTTGCAAGAATATTATTAATTGCCTGACATTCTCGTTTGTTCATTCGATGCATCTGAGGAAGTAAGCTTTTTTTAAAATGAAAGCTTATGCTACTACTGTCATTCTCTTAGTCTGATATTTGATATTCCTTTGCGTCTGATATTCCAGACAAGATATTCTACATCAATTTTTGATGTTGATGCAGGTGACTCCTGGTTCTTCTTGTGCTGTTTTTGGTCTGGGAGGAGTCGGCCTCTCGGTGCTCATGGGCTGTAAAGTGGCTGGAGCATCACGGATCATTGGGATTGACATCAACAAGGACAAATTTCCTCTGGCTAAACAGTTGGGTGCCACTGAGTGTGTCAGCCCTCTGGATTTCAAGAAGCCCATCAATGAAGTGCTGCTTGAGATGACTGATGGGGAAGGTGTGGATTATTCTTTTGAAGTGATTGGCCGCACAGACACCATGGTATGTGCATAATATACATTATATGATAGACCTAGAATGGAAAGGACTGGAATATGGGCATTATGCTGCTTCATTCTATTTTTCTCAATATTCTGGAAAAAATTAACTGTTGTCACAAAGTCCTATGCAACAAGCAATGTTAGAGGCTGAAATTAGAGCTTGTTCGATCTTTGAGAAGTATCCCATTCCTACTATTTGATGCAATGTTAAGAAAGACGTTAATTGCTTAATGTCTTGCATTGCTCAATATCAGTGGCTCCCAATCTTTTTTTGACCAGGAACCATTTTACCCAGTGGGGGACCACTCTCCAACATTAGTACCAAAAGGGTTACAAAACAGTTTTTGGTCAACTTGAGATTTGGTTTGGTTATTTGGGGTGCTGATCCAGAAATTTTCATTGGATAGACCACATTAGCTCTAGTTTCTGATAGAGGACATATGCCATCCAATAGTAGCCATCTGCTTGCCCACAGAAAACCATATTTAATAATGTAGAGCTGAGGTGATTTACCCAAGGGGGCAGGATTGGTGAGTGATGGGAAAGGTGTGGCAGGCGAGGTGAAAACAGCGGAAATAAATAAAATTTATTTATTTATTTGCGGTATTTGTATACTGCCCTTCTCAACCTTGAAGGGAATTCAGGGCGGTTCACATAAAATCAATCAATCAATCAATCAATCAATAAAGAGAAAGGAGGCTCACAGACCAGATTTTCATCCTCACGGCCCACTGGTGGTCTGCAGCCTACAGATTAAGAACCACTGCTTTATATACTTACACAGGAAACCCTAAGAGAAGAGGTATTATAGCAGGGCATATAGTAAGTCTTTTCATTGGCTTTATCTGAATGTATGACTTTGGATTTGCCTTAGATTGCTGCTTTGGCTTCCTGCAACTTGAACTATGGTGTCAGTGTGGTTGTAGGAGCTCCACCTTCAGCAGCAGAGATGACTTTGTCTCCAACACTTATTTTTACAGGACGCACTTGGAAAGGCTCCGTATTCGGAGGTAAGGCCGAAACAACTACTAACACTGGGCTGATAAAATAATTTATTGCATTTTGTTATCATGAGAAACACAATGTGTGCCATGGCAGTAGGATTTGTTGGAGAAGATGAGTTAGAAGAGGAGCAGCTTTTTGAGTAGTATACACAAGGTATAACTCCAGAATTTGCTCCAATTACCAACAGCCCTAGAAAGCATGGCCAATGTGTACTTTGCAATAAAAATCGGAAGCATGCATTAGTACAGAAATATGAAAGGTTGCCAGATCTTTAACAAGTCAATGCATACCCTTTCTTGACTGTACACAATCTTATTTCAGGCCTGAAAAGCAAAGATGATATTCCTAAACTTGTTTTGGATCTAATGGCGAAAAAGTTCAATCTGGATCCACTAATTACCCATGTTCTGTCTTTTGATAAAATAAATGAAGGATTTGATCTGCTCCGAAAAGGAGAAAGGTAAATGTTTCCTCTTTCTAAATAGCTATTGTTTCCATAATGTCAACTGGTGGTTTAAATGTCAGCAAAGTGGGGAAGAAATTTTAATGGTGATTTGCAGGTTTTTGGACCTGTTTGGGGGGAATGAGTCTTGGAAAGCCCATTTAAAGTTTGGTTACAATCCAGAGCTGGTCTCCTCTCCAACCTGTTTGTGTTTAGCCAGTTGAAAGCAATTAATTGGGTCTAAAACATAATGTACTGGTATAGCAACATCTCTGAAATTTCTGATGTTGACAGACTTTGTCCATCAATTTCTCCTTTTGTCTAGTTCAAATTTGAAATTTTCTGTTAAAATCTATTAATAGTAATATTGGGTAGGATCAAGAGTGCCATTCTAACAACCAAGATCTCCAAGGGACTGCTCAGATAATAGTAACATTGGTAAAGTTCTGCTGAATCCAAACCTAACTAACTTTAGAGATGCTGTAAATGATACAGGTGTATTCTCCAGCATTGTGGTTGCATCACTAAACTGGGAGAAGTTAGGATCTGGCATAACTAGGCTTTCTGATCCCTTAAAATCAAATCTTATCCTAGCAGATCTTCTCTGAGTAGATGGTTCTGTCAGCAGATCTCTGAAATTAGCTGACAGAAGAAGGTTTTTCCTACTGAATGATATTTCAGTCAGCATTGGTGACTTGTGCATTAGCCTAACCAAATATTGTTAGCTAAACTTTCAGTTAGGGTTGTACTGTAAGTCTGAATCTTTCTCATTAACTATGTTGAGCAAAACAGAGGCCACCCCATTTAACATTAAATTTTCTTTTGATGTTTCAGTATTCGCACTGTTCTGAAAATGTAAAGACCCTGATGGTGAACGTACAACACAAGTGAATTTCAACAGAACCATCCATTGCACGTTACATCAAGGAACATCTGTAGAAAGAATTGCATTGTATTGGATTGCAAGTAGCAATACTGCAGTATCAACTTATAAATCAAACCTGTTTTTCTCAGGGTGTCTTGCAAGTCATGCTTTCAATGCTATGATGACTGGGTTTCACGAAGCCATAGCAAAATAATAAACAAGTTGGTGTGGGGTATTATTCCGGAGACATATATTTTTATGATAATGGGTCTCATTGAATTAACTGCAACATAGACTTCTGAGAGCAGGTGTGCTACTAATTGTTACCTTGAAATTACTGAAGATAACTATGTCTGATGTTTGGTAAAGTTTTTCCCCTGACATTAAGTCCAGTTGTGTCCGACTCTGGGGTTGGTGCACATCTCTGTTTCTAAGCCGAAGAGCCAGCATTGTCCATAGATACCTCCAAGGTCATGTGACTGCATGGAGCACCGTTACATTCCTGCTGAAGCAGTACCTATTGATGTACTCACTTTTACATGTTTTCAAACTGCTAGGTTGACAGAAGCTGGCCTAACAGCGGGAGCTCACCCCGCTCCCTAGATTCGAACCTGCAACCTTTCGGTCAACAAGCTTAGCAGCTCAGTAGTTTAGCCACTTTGCAGTGGGTGCAGTGGGTTAATAAAAATATCTTTATAATTCTCAGTGATGCATCAATAACAAAGTCTGCTTAAACCAGGGGTCCTCAAACTTTTTAAACAGAGGGCCAGGTCACAGTCCCTCAAACTGTTAGAGGGCCGGATTATAATTTGAAAAAAACATGAATGAATTCCTATGCACACTGCACATATCTTATTTGTAGTGCAAAAACTTTAAAACAATACAATAATTAAAATGAAGAACAATTTTAACAAATATAAACTTAATATTTCAATGGGAAGTATGGCTGATGAGCTGATGAGATAGGATTGTTGTTGTGTGCTTTCAAGTCATTTCAGACCAGGCATGTAGCCGGGGGGGGGGGGGGGGGGCTTGGATCTGTTCACCATACTCAATATATCCCATATGCATGGGGGTATTGGGGTAATGATACAAAAGGTTTGCTAGGTAGACCCTCTTTCACTCAGACTCAGCCCTCCCAAATCAAAATCCTGGCTACCCCGAACCCCCCCCTGAAATATTTTAGCCCCCCCCCCAAACCAAATCTTGGCTACGGGCCTATTTCAGACTTAGGTTGACCCTGAGCAAGGGCCGGGTAAATGACCTTGAAGGGCCATATCCGGCCCCCGGGCCTTAGTTTGAGGACCCCTGGCTTAAACTATGGATATTTGAAGCTACCTTTGTGTGTTTTTGACAGTAAGTTCTGGCATTAGCTAGTGAATAAAGCTTTTTTTCAATCAACCGGTTTCACATATATATTTGGGTTTTCAATGTAACTTTAAATATTTTTAAGAGATATAAGTCTGCAAAGCATTCAACTGCAACTCAGAAAGCAGCTTCAGGAAAACTGAATATAACAAAAGGTAGGAGCATGCCTCAGAATATTTAGTCAGGTTGTTAATTTCATACAGTCATATTACTTATGACCTCACAACATCTGAGGATGCCTGCCACAGATGCAGGCAAAACATCAGGAGAGAATGCTTCTAGAACATGACCATACAGCCCGAAAAACCTACAACAACCCAAATGACTTATGGTTTGAGGGGAACTTAACAAACAGAACAATAGCGTTTAATACGGGAGTTTTTTCAACTGGGTTCAGTAAATGTATTTCTATTGTTGTTTCAAATCTGTCCCTGACTGGTTGTGAAGCCTGAATTGGAGTCAGGCCATGTATGCCAAACGCTAAAGAACCCGCCCAACAACACACATGCATGTCCTTGTTAAAGGGGTCATCCTGAGGCTCAGCAATTCAATCCAGCCAAGAAAATAATTGGGGGAACAAGGAAAAGGTGAATGGCAGGATTCCTAAGGGCTGAGGCCAGGGATCTGTCACAACCATACTCTGAAGTTGTTTCATATGTGTCCCAGTTTTCGTCTGCAAAATACAGGAGAGTATGCATGAAGGTAGGCCCCTACAGATGCAACAACTGAATGTGAACTCGAGAGCAATGTGTGCCATCAAAGGAAGGACACCAGCCTTGTACCTTTCCATGCATCATCACAGATTTGGAAGTGAATACCTGAAAATAACTACATACTCCTATAAAACCAAAAGAAGAAGAGGAATGAGCTTACACTATAAGGACCATACTTTTGTGTACTCCATATTTTATGTAGCAGTGTGATGTTTGTGTTCTAAATCTTAAAACTTTTACTTCACCCTCTTGGATTCCAGTTCCATCCATTGTCACTACTCATCACTCCCCCTGGAAGGTAACTCTTGACAGATAAGCCCAAATAGCATGCAGCCATTGATGAAGATTGGTGGAGAAGGCTCTTTACTTCTCCACTAGAGCTTGGGAGATACATGTTCGAATCCCCAATGCTTGAGGAAGCTCACTGGTGGGCCTTGGGCTTGTCATTTGCTATAGAGGCCTAATGAATGTCACATAAATCTGAGACTGAGAAGCATAGGTAACACACTGAACATCTTGGAGGAAATGTAGTGTATACTGTGACTGCCAAGATAGACACATAGGTTCTCATAATGACTCCTGTGTAACTCAGCATAAACCAAGATATCTTACCTAAATACTATTATATTCCCCAGTAATTTTCCCCAGTTATGTTATCCTGCACCGAAGATACATAACCTAACTTTTAAGTTCACAAAGTTATGCCACAGTTGTGCAATGCACTGTTACAGAATAGCCAGTGTGTATCCATGCATAACCATGATGCACAATCTCACCATGCATGTACCTCCATGTTTGTAAAGTTCCACTGAATACACACATTTTGATGAAAAGCACACAGCCACATGGGTAAAGGAGCTTGTGAAAGAGACCAAAAACATCACAGCCAAAGAGTTAGAGAGAAATAGAAAAGTGCTTTAGAGAGGTGGATGTAATTCATTGAATTTCTGATATCTTTACATTCTCTTTCAGTCCAAATTATTAGCAACTCCCCAATGTAGAAAGACAGAAAGATGAACCATAGCTTCTTGCAATTAGAACAAGCAAATATCTTTACATGGAAAATATGACATAAATCCCACAGAGTGAAAGCAATATTGTTCATGAAAAGTTGGTATCCCTAACATGTGGGGTGAGTTGTCTTTCCCCTTCTTTGTCATTTGCATTTTTGTATAGTAGTATGTTTGTTTCTTCTTCATAATCTCTGTGAAAATAGCACTGATGGTACTTCTTGCACCTATGCAGTAGGCTCCAGCATTTTCTAGATAGCTTTATTGGTCTTCTGGCTGCAGCCCTGCCCATCCTTCCCAGGAGGCATATAATCAGTGAGAAGGGTTGAAGGCTTAGTTCCTGTGACCCACCAACATCACAGCGGCTTCAGAGATCTTGGGAACCTAACTGGTGTCTTCAAACTGTGAGATTATGAGGTTCTTTTCATAGTTAAATTGTCTTTAGGCTGGTTTTGACTAGGTTTGTATCTTCTGGCTTGTTGAATTGGACTGGTTTTGACTTCACAGCAAAATCTTGTGCAGCTGTGGGGTTTTTCTCCCTCCACAGCCTTGCCAGAGACCTCGAGGCACTATTCATCAAGGCACACCTCCATGATTCCTTCTAAGGAGCATTCCTCTCATGGCAGGCTTTTTCCTTCTCCAGGCAGCCTTCACAGGGCTTCGGCAGACTTCTATCCTTTGCCTCCCGGTCATACCTCCTCCCCAAATAGGACCAATGTTTCTTCACAGCAACAGTTTTGGCATAAGGTCCCACAAAAGGGATGGTATTATTTTGGACCACTTCAGCTCCTATGCCTATGACTGGTAACACATGCAATTTTTGTGCACCCTCTGCTGCAGTAGGCATTCTTTCGCATCAAGGCTTTGTGCCTCTGTTGCTTCCATCATTACTGGGCTCTGATGCTTCTGCAGATAAATCTGAAGAAGAGCCAGAATCACCTGAGGCCACTAGAAACACTCTTGAGGGGGACAAAGCTTCTCAGCCTCTTCTGGGAGAAGACGACTAGCTTTACAGCATGTGTGTTAAATGTGCCCATGACTAAAGCACCAGCACCAGTGGAAGATTCACTCTTCCCAGCAGAGCAACAAACTGTGCCTGTAGCTCCTGTGTTGTGCTCTCTCCTGTATTTAATCCAACTAACTAGAAACTGTGACTTAGCACCTAGTGCGGTCCTGGCAGTGTTGCACCGTATTAATGGGTTATACCACCTACACACATCTTCTGTGGAATGGCTGGCTTGGCATTCAAAACCCAACGCAGTGGTGATAGATATAATGCAATCCTGTCATTCTCAAAGGGCCCCTTCCAACCCTCCAGATAAGAAGGGAAATAAAGTTGACGCTATGGGGGAAAAGAGTCACCAGACAGTGAAATTGTTTACATGCATAGACCACTATAGTGCGCACATGGCAGCATATCAGACCTCTTTATGAGGCAAGATGGGCCCTTATTTAGACCGGTTTCCAGCACAAGACCAACAATTGACTAAAGCATTCTACCAGGAAGCTATCATGCTGTCTAGGCTCCAAAAAGACCTTGTGAAGCACTCTGCTGAATCATCTGGAAAACTTATTGTCTCAGCTACGGCAATCTGTTGACATGCATGGTTGCATGCTTCCAACCTTTCAGAAGAGGGCAAGTTGCAGAAAATCTCCCAATGCACAACAATGGCTTATTTAATCTCGAAACTGATGGCCATTTGAAGCATACATGACACCAAAATTCAGGTTTCTGCCACATGCGAACTATGGCATGTGGCAGAAACATGATTACAGGTAACCAACCATTTCTTATGAAGTTAATAGTTTTATTACGTTATCTTATATTTAATTAATGCTTGCATTTTTCTCCTTAAATGTTGTTTTATACCATATAGTTAAAATGTATTCTTCAATTAAAGAAATGCACTTCTTCCTTTTAAAACATTTAAAGTTGGTTGGAAAAACCACACATGGGGGAAACAGGGATAATGAGAAAGGCTTTATTCATCACACAGTACCATTATTTATTGTGAAAATGCACAAAACTGTATCCAAATGAAAAGTTTGCTATGGATCCATTTAAACATGGTCTCCATGCAGTAAAAGTGTAACTCATAAGACAGAGTTACCTTGTATTTCACACAGAGAGAAATAAAGTTGACATTTATAACAAATTTCTACATGTAACACAACACGGTCCTTTTCGTGGGTGTTTCATGATGTGATGCACAATTCATGGTTCTCCTGGAATTCAGTTGTCTTGTATTTTCACCATCAGGATCTTTACATTTTCAGAACAGTGCGAATACTGAAACATGAGAACATAATTTAAAGTTAAATTGGGTGGCCTCCGTTCTGTTTGACATAGTTAATGAGAGAGATTCACACTCACAGTGTAACTCTAACTCAAAGACTTGCTGACAGTACATTATTAGGTTACCATAGAATCATAGAGTTGGAAGAGACCTCGTGGGCCATCCAGTCCAACTCCCTGCCAAGAAACAGGACAATAGTGTTTAAAGCACCCCCAACAGATGGCCATCTAGCCTCTGTTTAAATGCCTCCATAGAAGGATCCTCCACCACACTTTGGGGTAGAGAGTTCCACTGCTGAACAGTTCTCACTGTTAGAAAGTTCTTCCTAATGTTCAGGAAGAACTAATGTACAAGCCTATTTTGCTAGCTAAAATGCCTTCTGTAGGGAGAATCCTTTTCTGTTTGTTGACTTCAGATCTGCTAGCAAAGCCATCTACTAGGCCAAGATTTTTTTTTCCAAAAAAGGACATCAAGTTCAACCCCTTGCCATGCAGGAAATTAAAGTACTCCTAAAGGATGCCTGTCCAATCTGTGTCAAAGATGGTGAGTTCACTACTTCCCAAGGCAATCTATTACACCATTGTGACACTCTTACATTAAAAACAAGTTTTTTCTATAGCTTAGGTGGATTCTCTTTTCTTTTAATTTGGACCCATTTGTTCAGCAGCAAAAAACAAGATTTCTCCTGTATGACCCCTGTTCCCATAACTATCATGCCATCTCTCATCTCTCAGTGACATCTCCAGCTCATCCCTTGTTTGGGTATCAGCCAGCACGTCAATGACCTAAATCAAGAAATAGTTTTCTAAGATCTACAGAGACACTTGCTGGAACACCCCAGCAAGCGAGAGTCCAAAAGTGGCAGGCTCAAACCCAGAACCTCAATCAATGGCTGATACCCAATGAGAGCCTCCCCCCTGGACACACAGAAAACTGACCACCTGCTGCAATGCAACCTGAGCCCTGCTACATGCACAATGGAGGACCTCCTTGCGGCAACACCAGAGGCACTCCAAGTGGCCAGCTACTGGTCAAAGGATGTTTAATCAGCTACCAAGCTTGCAAACTTTGTGTTTTGTCTGTCTGTTTGTTTGTTTTGTTTTGTTAAAAATGTAATACAACTGTCTGGTTGCTCCTGACACGATAAATAAATAAATCCCTCAGTCTTCTCCTCTCTTAGCTAAACACTTCAAGACCCTTAAGTCATTTCTCATAAGGCTTGGTTTCCAATTCTGGGCTGCATCAAATTGTTAGGTCATATTTATCTTGGGGTATACTAAGACACCCCTCCCTCTGATCCATTTCACATACACTTTTCAAGCCAGATGTCACCCATCCAACAGTTCTGCAAATCTTTGATATACTGAATGCTTATTGATGTTACAACACTGTATTTGCTTTTTTCATTTCATTTTTAAATATCAAAACCTTTTTATAAATAGGTATTTGGTTGAAAAATGTCTCTGCTACTCCAAAATACAGACTAGTGTAGTAGGTTGAGCAATGGACTAAGACTCTGGAGACCAAAGACTGAATCCCTCTCAGCTATAGAAACCTACTGGGTGGCTTTGGGAAAGTCTGCTCTCTCAGCTCACTGGGAGGCAAAACCAAACCTACTCTCAATAAATCTTGCCAAGGTTTGCCTTAGGGTTGCCATAACTCTGGAATGACTTGGGTGTACACAACAACAAACTATACTGGTTAATGAAAGCACTGTCCAGGGGAAAAACTGACCTTGACAGTAAGGGCACAATCGGTAACTGTCCAAAATATCAAAATTCTTTTTCAGAGACTCCTTCCCAAGGCAGATTTCCCAACACCAATACATTACCTTTTGGAACACTTTTGTTTACTTTTAACTAGGGCCCCGTCCACATAGCTGAATAAAATCCCTTGAACTGGAATATATGGCAGTGTGGACTCAGATAACCCAGTTGAAAGCAGATACTGTGGGATTTTCTGCCTTGATATTTTGGGTTATATGACTGAGTGCAATGGCTTTAAGTAAAGACAAATGGGAGGCTTCCATGGCAGCCGGATAGAGAACCTGCTTGGGTTGTAGACTTGACTTTAAAGGAGCTATCCAAGGTGGTAAACGCTGTCTTCCAAAAAGATTCAGAATTCTGCAGAATTCAGATTAAAAGCCAGAGTAGTTCCTAGTTCACTGACAATCAAGCCACCAGCTGCCACTATGGGGATATTATAATTTAAAAAAGAGGAAACATTTACCTTTCTCCTTTTCGGAGCAGATCAAACCCTTCATTTATTTTATCAAAAGGCAGAACATGGGTGATTAGTGGATCCAGAATGAACTTCTTTGACATGAGCTCCGAAACCAGTTTAGGAACAGCATCCTTGCTTTTGAGACCTGCAAATAAGATTGCTCATGGTTAAGATAAATCACCCATTGACCATCTCACACATTTCTATACTGTGTCATGCTTACACATAATTATCAAAACATATATATTGGCTATGCTGCCTAGGATTTCTGAGAGTTGTATTTTTGTAATCAATACAATTTGGGGTGCTCCTGCTCATTCCCACCGATTTTCTGAAAGACATTCCATTGCTATTGCACACATTGAGTTTCCCATGATTACAAATTTAAATAAGTCTTTTTAGTAGCCAGGTAATGATTGATGTTAAGGCCATACCTCCAAATACAGAGCCTTTCCAAGTACGTCCTGTGAAAATAAGTGTTGGAGACAAGGTAATCTCTGATGCTGAAGGCGCTGCTCCCACAATCACACTGACACCATAGTTCAAGTTGCAGGAAGCCAAGGCAGCAGCCTAAGGCAAATCCAAAATCATACATTCAGATAAAGCCAAGGAAATGCCGACTATTGTATATGCCCTGCTATCTATCCTCTTCTCTTAAAATTTCTGTAATAGCATATAGGCCACTGCAAGTAAGGAAGTAATAAATTAATTTCTCAACAAGTTATGGGAACAGGCTGCTTCTCAAACACTTCAATGACTAATGGGAATAAGCTGAACAAGCTCTAATTTCAGCTTCTAGAATCCTTGTCTGCTGGCATTGCTGTCTGGAGCTTTGCTGCAACAGTTTAATGGAGCAGAATCTCAAGATAAAGCAAAATAGGAAAAGCAACGCATATTTTCTTGTTCCTTCCTTTTCAAATCTTTCAAGAAATGAACTTTATGCACATACCATGGTGTCTGTGCGACCAATCACTTCAAATGAATAGTCCACACCTTCCCCTTCAGTCATTTCCAGCACTACTTCATTGATGGGCTTCTTGAAATCCAGAGGGCTGATACACTCGGTGGCACCGAGCTCCTTAGCCATAGGAAATTTGTCCTTGTTGATGTCGATCCCAATGATCCGCGATGCTCCAGCTGCTTTACAACCCATGACGACTGAGAGGCCAACTCCTCCCAGACCAAAAACAGCACAAGAAGAATCAGGTGTCACCTGCATCAATGTCAACATAATAAATTACTCTAGAAACCCATAGTAATATGAAGTCATATGATTAAAATAAGTATATTTTTCCATTTTACTGTATTTATTTGTTGAGAACCTTATGTTTCTGATTTCTTACCTATAGTTTCTTGTTATCATTTGAAACATAAAAATTATGTAAATTAGAAGGAGGATATAAATATGTAATTCTCATTGAAGCAGCTTTGTTTGTTTGGGAATTGAGTAAATTCACTCAGTTCCCATGGTGACTCCCCATTAACCAAAACACTCAACAGGTCTACTCTACTTGGGACTGACAATCAAATTCAGGCATAACTGGGTTGTTGTAGGTTTTTTTTGGGCTATATGGTCATGTTCTAGGGGCATACTCTCCTGAGGTTTCACCTGCATCTATGGGAAGCATCCTCAAAGGTAGTGAAGTCAGACATAACTCTTCATTATTAAGCTTAAATGAAATACATTTATTTGTACATGTTTGGTATTACAGTTATATTATTATTTATTTATTTGTTTATTTAAAACTTTTATTCCCAATCTTCTCTACCTCCGTGGAGGGACTCAGACCAGCTAACAGCAGAAATTCAATGCACAAATACAACTAAAAACATCATCAAATCATAATAAATTAAAATACAGACAGAATAAATACATATAAGCCAAATCGCCAAGATAGAATAAAGTTCATCACAATCCACAAATGTGGTCAGTAATTATTAGGTTATTAGTTCCACAATGGATAGGTCACTGACACAAAATTCAGCTACATGACAAATTTCTCCAGCTACAAATCAGCCATTTATGTCCTGTCGCTTACCTTTCCGGATCTGATGGCAGCACCATAGCCAGTAGAAAATCCACAGCCTATCAGACAGGCTTTCTCAGGAGGAGCTGCAGGATCAATTTTGGCCAGCGAATCCTCATGTACTACAGTATATTCAGCAAAAGTGCTGGTGCAAGCAAAATTGTGAACTGGCTTCCCTTTGTAAGAAAATCTGGTTGTGCCGTCGTACATTAATCCCTTAAATTCAGAAAGACTGTAAAACATGGAAGGAGAAATTGAATTGTAATGGGTACTTTTCAAAGTTTGTAGTACTAGTAAGATACTAGTACTTTCTAATACTGTTGGAAATGATGACAACTCACTCATTCTTTTCACACAAGTTGCCTTCTGGATTCTTGCAAGTGCGGCATTTCCCACATTGTGGGAGAAAGAGTGGAATGACTTTGTCTCCTAGGGATTATGAAAAGAATATTGTGAGCCTGAAGGTTTGTGACTGAGTCAAATTGGACCACAACTAATGACCTGTCCATTGCAAAAAAACAACAACAACAATCTATCTCACTACCGAAAACCAAACATTATTGGTTAGGACTTTTGAGAAAAGCCATTTTAATTCACATTTGATAACATTGCCAACTAAACAACTTTGGGTGTGTCAAGTCACTTAATCCTCTTAGTTATCTTAACTCCAGAATCTAATGTGATTAAGATATGAAAAGATATGATAAAACAAAAACCACATCTGCTTTCTTGCATGCCCCTGCTTGGCTTGGGCGTAGACACTTTCTAATCTCTTCAAATTGGCAAGTGGAGCATTATAGAAGATGCCAGTTGAACAATTACTTGGCTATACTGGTCTACTTTTGTCATTGTGTATGCATGCAAATGCTCTCTCATTGCACTTTGCCATACCTGGTTTCACACAGGTAACTCCTTCCCCAGTGCTCTCCACAACACCAACAGCTTCATGGCCAGGGATAACAGGGAACGTTGTTTTTATTGAACCACTCAATACATGGTCATCAGTGCGACAGATTCCAGTAGCCAAAATCTGTGATAAAGATGAACAACAGCTACAGATAATTGCTTCCCATTTAAAAAAATTTTTTTTACAATTGCTTATTATTTAAGGATTTTTTTCTATTGAATTTTGATATCATTGTTAATTTTGGTATACAGATAAAGGATTTGCTACGATTACATACTAACATGATAAAAATACAAACCAATCTTTTAGCTTAGTTAAATTAATTATAGCCCAACACCCCACCCTAAACTTGATGAATATGCCCTTCACCATCCCGGCGGAATGGAACTGTTCTGTATGCACAAGCAATACTTTGTCACAATTATAACAGTATTACCTCGATTACAAATCCCCTCCCAACCTACTTCACAAGACATTGACTGCTTGAGGAGAAAGAGATTCCTTCTGCCAGCAATTGGAGCACAACATTTCTGTCCAGTTTGGAGAGCAGAAAAAGTTACTTAGGTAAGTACAATGGAACCTTGGTATCTGCTGGAGTTTGGTTCCATGTACTAAAATCCATAGATGCTCAAGTCCTATTATATACTACTGAGTAGCAAAATTATATCCCTTATATAAAATGACAAAATCAAGGTTTGCTTTGGGGATTTAAAAAAAATGTTGTCAAATTGGTTGATGAAGAATCTGTGGGTAAATACAACCAACTGTAGAGTTAATTAAGTAGCTGATGTAGAATACTGACTGTTTTCTCACTGCCCAAAGAGAAAGGGGCCTCAGGCAGCAGCAGCGATAATAGTAACAGCCAACTGCCAAGTAATAATTGGCCCCAAAGATGTTTGAAGGCGGAGAAAGGCAATTAGGAAGAAGACATGGGCCCTCTTAGATTGATCATAAACTATGTATTGAGAAGGTGAAGGGATCACACTGGAATTGCCAAAACAGATCTTAGTTGAGAAGATCATGAATGTGAACCAATTTATGGATGAAGATATGTCAGTAAGGATACTTGAGTTGGCTGGGAAAGATCAGGACAAAGATATGAAGAAGCAATAATTGAGAAGGTCAACAAAGTGAAACCTATTCTGTAGGAACCTGGGTTGCCACATATGATTATGCCCCTTTCCTTTCCGTTTCAATTACAAATTGTCCTAAAGGGGGGAAAAAGAAAACAGACTGTTTTTTAATGAAAACAAAAATTTTCAAGATTTTTCTAGCTTCCAGAAGGAACAGGGCGACCCTAGCAAAAAAATCCACTTTCACAGTCACTCTCTGCTTCATCTCAATCAAAAAAAGTACTTTTAAGACACCATCAACCAGTGACTACAAACTGGCTGAACATGTTTTACTTCTGGTCCTTAGAGCACAAGCCATGTAAGGATTTGCAGATAAAGACCAGCACATTGACTGAAAAATGCTAAATTGAGCTCTGTATGGCTCATTTGTCCATAAACTGAGGTCTTTTGGATGTCTTCATTGAAAGTCATATGTATACTACAATACAGTAGAGAAGAAAGGATGTCTCATCAAAACTTGTAGAAGTTCTTTTCACTTTAACAGTCTGATCCAGAAATGTATGACATACTTGTGCAAGTGCTGGGTTAGGGTTAGGGCCCAACACTACTGTGATGTTTCCTGTAGCTATCCCCATTCTGAAATATGAATGACTCTCCAAACCTTAGTTATATTTGGAGCTTTGCTGATGCTGAACAACTCTGAAGAAATCACTGAAGCTGGAGGATGGTTTGGCAGTGAAGCAGCACTGGACCTTTGCTTCAACTCACTGCAGATGCCTTGTTAACTATGCCAGTCATGCCCCCAATATGCTTATGCAATCAACTTGGTGCTCATAAATATGCAATGGGGTTTTTGTAGCACCTTTGAAACCAAATGCGACAGAGAAGTTGGTAGCATAAGCTTTCTGAGACTTCATCAGATACATCTTTGCATATTATACAGAATAACTTCTTCTGACACCTTAAAAGTGGCATAAATTTCATGATGGTGAACTAATAAATGAAATCTCTGCCATCTATATATATAAATCTGTTAGGTTGGTTCAACTGGACAGCAAAACTCCACAACCCCCCAACGAAACTGTACCAAAATTGCCATGCCCATAACACAACCCACAAGGTACAAACATATCTACTCAAAATGAAAAACAACACAACAACACACTCACAAAACGGCAAAACAACAAAACTCAAAAAAACCAACGAAACTTAACCAAAATTCCCATGCCCATAACACAACCCACAAGGTACAAACATATCTACTCAAAATGAAAAACAACACAACAACACACTCACAAAACGGCAAAACAACAAAACTAAAAAAAACCAACGAAACTTAACCAAAATTCCCATGCCCATAACACAACCCACAAGGTACAAACATATCTACTCAAAATGAAAAACAACACAACAACACACTCACAAAACGGCAAAACAACAAAACTCACAAACCCCCCAACGAAACTTAACCAAAATTCCCATGCCCATAACACAACCCATAAGGTACAAACATATCTACTCAAAATGAAAAACAACACAACAACACACTCACAAAACGGCAAAACAACTGAGCATGCGCATTGGTGCCCAGCCGCAAGTTCCCTGGCGCGTGCACACAGTCTTATTATTTATTTATTTATTTATTTATTTATTTATTTATTTATTACTGCGCTTGTATACCGCTGTTTCTCAGCCTACATTGGCGACACAACGCGGTTTACAACACTACAATAATCAACAATATTCAGTTTAAAAAGCATAAAAACACATACACAATACACAATATTGGGCCACCAATAACAAACCAATGCATCTCTTAACTAAAATCGCAATCCAATTTCATCGTCTGTGATTACCAATCCTTGATCATCAAATTCATTGCACCGGATTAACCGAATGCTTGTTCGAACATCCATGTCTTCAGTCTTTTTCGAAACACCATCAGCGAGGGGGCTGATCTTACCTCTATGGGGAGGGCGTTCCAAAGCCGAGGGGCCACCACAGAAAAGGCCCTGTCTCTCGTCCCCGCCAGCCGCACCTGTGAAGCAGGCGGGATAGAGAGCAGGGCCTCCCCAGAAGATCTTAGGGTCCTGGTGGGCTGATAGGCCGAGATATGTTCGGATAGATATGTTGGGCCAGAACCGTTTAGGGCTTTAAAGGCCAACGCCAGCACTTTGAATTGGGCCCGGTAGCAGATCGGCAGCCAGTGGAGCTGGTACAGCAGAGGAGTTGTATGCTCCCTGCGCCCCGCTCCTGTTAGTATCATGGCTGCCGCCCGTTGGACTAATTGGAGCTTCCGAGCCGTCTTCAAAGGCAACCCCACGTAGAGAGCGTTGCAGTAGTCAAGACGGGATGTAACCAGAGCATGGACTACCGTGGCCAAGTCAGACTTCCCAAGGTACGGTCGCAGTTGGCGCACAAGTTTTAACTGTGCGAATGCTCCCCTGGTCACCGCCGAAACCTGGGGTTCCAGGCTCAGCGATGAGTCCAGGATCACACCCAAACTGCGAACCTGCGTCTTCAGGGGGAGTGCGACCCCGTCTAACACAGGCTGTAACCCTATACCCTGTTCAGCCTTGCGACTAACCAGGAGTACCTCTGTCTTGTCTGGATTCAATTTCAATTTGTTCGCCCCCATCCAGACCGTCACAGCGGCCAAGCACCGGTTCAGGACCTCGACAGCCTCCTTAGTAGCAGGTGGAAAGGAGTGACAGAGTTGGACATCATCTGCGTACAGATGACATCGCACTCCGAAACTCCGGATGATCTCGCCCAGCGGCTTCATGTAGATGTTAAACAACATGGGAGACAGTATTGAACCCTGAGGGACCCCACAAGACAAAGGTTGTGGGGTAGAACAGGAGTCTCCCAGTAACACCTTCTGAGACCGACCCTCGAGGAATGAGCGGAGCCACTGCAAAACAGTACCTCCAAGACCCATCCCCGCGAGGCGTCCCAGAAGGATACCGTGGTCGACGGTATCGAAGGCCGCTGAGAGGTCGAGCAGCACCAACAGGGACACACTCCCCCTGTCGAGCTCCCGACGCAGATCATCCACTAAGGCGACCAAGGCTGTCTCAGTACCATGCCCCGGCCTAAAGCCAGACTGTGCCGGATCCAGATAATCCGTGTCTACCAAGAATGCCTGGAGTTGTGAGGCCACCACACGTTCCATGACTTTGCCCAAAAAGGGGAGATTGGAAACAGGCCGATAGTTGACGAATTGAGTGGGGTCCAGTGATGGTTTCTTCAACAGTGATTTTATCACAGCTTGCTTTAAGCTGGCTGGAATTTTGCCCTCCCGAAGGGAGGCATTAACCACCACCTTCACCCACTCGGCCAATCCCCCTCTGGCCTCCTTCAGAAGCCAGGATGGGCAGGGGTCTAGGATGCATGTGGTAGCTCTCATTCCTCCAAGCACCTTGTCCACATCCTCGGATTGAACCAATTGAAATGAATCCATCAAAACCGGACAAGCAGATGCTCGTGTTACATCCTCAGAGACTGCCGTTAATATGGTATCCAGTCCAGAGCGGATCAAAGCGACTTTGTCTGCAAAGAACTGAGCAAAGGCTTCACAGCGAGCTGCCGAGTCATCAGGGCACCCATCCTGGGTGGTGGGTTTTAACAGGCCTCTGACAACTCGGAACAGTTCAGCCGGACGGTTCTTTGCAGACGCAATAGTGGCCGCAAAGAAAGTCTTCTTTGCGGCTTTTATTGCCGCGGCATATGCCCTTAAAAAGGACACAAACCGTGTTCGATTTGGCTCGCTCGGATCCGAACGCCACACGCTCTCTAGTTCCCTCTTCTTTCGCTTCAACGCTGCCAGCTCCTCGGTAAACCAAGGAGCTGGTTTAGCTCGGCTACTTGAGGGGACGTTCTGGAGCGATCGTGTCTATTGCCCTAGTCATCTCCCCATTCCAGAGAGCGACCAGGGCATCAACAGGATCACCAACCGAGGTGGCGGGAAATTCCCCAAGAGCCGTCAGGAATCCATCCGGATCCATAAGCCTCCTGGGGCGGACCAGTTTAATGGGTCCTCCACCTCTG